AAGCCAACCAAATACAAAAAAACAATCTTTCATACACTCAATTTCAATTTTTAGGTTTCTCCAAACTGTATATTACGAGCTTTTATAATGACCTAGTTTCATTTTTCTTGAGGAGCAGTTCATATCAAAAAAGTTCAGCGTGTTTGGCTGTCGGTGTACTTAACTTGTAATTAATACGCTTGAGGGCATAGGTTGGTAGTTTACTACCACAAACGGACGGAGCAAAAACGTAACAACTTCCGTTATTTAGAAATTATTTCGAGCACAAAAGTCAAGTGAAAAAGTTGCTAACAACAAATAAATAAACTTGGAAACACAGTTAGAAATCCAACTACTTATGATAGAAATATATATATATAAACCAAGTTGCGGATCTTCTGTGAAAAGATCTGCATATAATCTATAAGATAATACCTACGAGGACAATACCGGAGAAGATTTTCAAAACTTCGGAGGAAAAACATACGGATCTCCAAGAAACATATCGACAGACCTTTAATTGAAATTCTTACTTCAGGCGGAAAAATGGCAAAATTTTGTTATTGATCAATAAAAATCGCGTTGCGAAAAAAATCAGAATTTCCATAATTACAGAATTATAAAAGCGGTTACATAGGGTATATATCATTTGATAAGGCCAAAACGTGTCTCATCGAAATAACGGTATCATTCCCTAGGTCTCATTGGATCAAATCCGTTTCTGAACATTGGAGTCGATCTAGTGATGTCCGTCCGTCCGTCTGTCTGCTGTGCACGATAACTCTCGCAAGGAGTATCCGATTTGGTCCAAACTTGACACATTGTAATATTATTATCCAATAACTTAGGTCGAGTTCGGGGATGGGCAATATCGGGTACCTCCCACCACAAAATGTCAAAATTTTCACAGTAAAAAAATTTACTTCAGAGAACAAGAAAGGATTTTTGATTTGGGATTTTAGCAAATCCCAACATTTTTATCAGAGTTAGGTTAGGTATGAAAATTGGCAATATCGGTCCACTCCATCGAGTACCTCCTACACAGCAACATTTGGAATGATTACAGGGTGAGATGAAAAAACTGCAACCAACTTCAGACTGCTGTCAATTCTAAGCCACTCGTCCGACAGCTGTCATTATATTGTTTACAAACGTACAAAAGTATTTTGTTGAGAATTTTCCAGAAAAAAAGTTATTCGTGATGGAATTCAAGCGTGACAGTGTGATTTATTTATATTTGGCTGGAAAACCACAAGTAGCTATCATTAGAGCACCCCAGCGATTAAATGTCAATTAATCTTTTGTGTCGCGTACCATCGTTCGTTACCGTGATACTGGTAGCGTAGCCCGACGTCAAGGAAGTGGATGGAAGATAACAGCAACATCAGCAGAAATGGTTCGAAAAGTAAAGAAGCGACTTGATCGAAACCCGCGTCGCAGTGGCCGGAAAATCACACTCAGTACGCGCCACCCAAGAATGACTACAAAATGAGATTCCTCGCTTCATTTCCAGCGCACAATGGCCACCAAAATCTCCGGATACCAATCCGTTGGACTATTGTGGCTAGAGTATTTTGAAAAGCAAGGTTGGCACTAAGAAATATCAAAGTGTCGATCACCCCAAGCTAGTGCTTCGCCGGGAATGGACCAAAATACCGCAGAGCCACATTCGGGCAGGGTGTGACAGTTTCATTGGCCGTTTGAAGGCTATAATTCGCGCCAAAGGTGACCAATTCGAACAAATCTAAACTAGCGGTACCTCCCGCACAAAAGGTCAAATTTTTGAATAACAAAAACAATCCTTAAATTCGAATTGAGTATCCAATTGTCTTAACATTCCACACATTCCAATATTGCCACTAAAAGAAGATCTGGTATGAAGGTGGAATATATATGAGCACTCATAACTTTGGCACCTCCCCCACAAAGGTGTCAAAAATATTACTAACCCAAGATAAGGTGTTTAAGATAGAATGTATGGGTCTACTCCTCCTGGTAACTCCTCTACACGGTAAAAATTGTCAGTATTTATATCTCTCATAACTTGCGAAACAAGTCAGAGATTATTGTAAAACTTGGTGTATCTAAATATCTCTCTCAACCAAGGATGTGATGTGAGTAAGGAATCTATGGGCCCATTCTTTGTGATACCTTCCCCACAAAAGTTGAACATTTTGAATATCATTTATTCGAATAAAATTGGAAATAAATATTCGATCTTCTCTAAATTTTGCACACAACAATATTTTTTTTTTTTTTTGGGCATAATATAAAGTGGAATACTTCGGTACGCTACCTAAAGTATATATTTGATTTAATATTCCTGGCTGCACTGAATTTTATGACAAACGTGTTGATGTTTTACCAAAGTAATCCTCGTATTCTCGCATCTGAAATATTGTCGGAGACACCACATATCTAAAATAAATTGAAAACTGAAATATTTAGAAAATGTGGAGAATTTGACCCCTCCATTTGGGTTACTTTGTTATGTAAACTTTCAAACTCAACTTTTATAACCTGCTGGATTCTTCCTGCAAATGTCAAAACAATTAATTCATGCAGCTAATTTTTAAACCCTACAACACTATGTGTTGGGGGTATTATAAGTTTGATTGGGCCAGAATTTATGTAACACCTCGAAATATTGGTTTCCCATATAGGAAAGTATATATGGATCTTCCTAGCTCGCCGAGCTGAGTCGATCTAGCTATGTATGTCCGTCCGTCCGTCTGTCCATGTTAATTTGTAATCACTCTACAGGTCGCAATTATGGCCCGATCTTCACGAAATTTAGAATGTAGGTGGGGTTAGGATCAGAATAGAACCCTATTGCTTTTGGAAATGATCGCCAAATGTTTAGGGGTTGAAATGGACCAAATACTGAAAAATTGTCGGATTTTGCAGTAGCTATACATGTCGCAATTATAGACCAATCGACGCGAAATTTCGCATGTAGATAGACTTTAGGGAGGGGAGGAAGTCTTTGGGTGTTCATCGGATAATATTTAGCGGGTAAAATATACCATATATTTTGTGTTGAAAAAAATTAAAATTTTTCATTAAACCGTGAATATTTTAAATCCCGGCGAAATCACAAAGGCATCACAAGGTTACTTCTGACCTTTACATTGATGTTAACATCCAACAAATCGGATATGTAGCAAAATATGTGCGATATATATGTCTATCAAAGGAGATATGCTTGAAAGATCTCTTATATGTCGAGAACGGCTGAACTGATTTCGACAGTTCTCATTAATTCAGAATGGCCTCTTGGCAGGAAAGAAAAAACGTCTAAAAAAAATCGCATAAAAATATCTCTCTAAAGATGAAAATATTGATTTTGTAAAATGTTCTCATTTTTATACCCTACAACACTATGTGTTGGGGGTATTATAAGTTTGATTGGGCCAAAAATTATGTAACACCTCGAAATATTGGTTTCACACATAGGAAAGTATATATGGATCTTCCTAGCTCGCCGAGCTGAGTCGATCTAGCTATGTATGTCCGTCCGTCCGTCTGTCCGTCTGTCCATGTTAATTTGTAATCACTCTACAGGTCGCAATTATGGCCCGATCTTCACGAAATTTAGAATGTAGGTGGGGCTTGGACCAGAATAGAACCCTATTGCTTTTGGAGATGATCGCCAAATGTTTAGGGGTTGAAATGGACCAAATACTGAAAAAATGTCGGATTTTGCAGTAGCTATACAGGTCGCAATTATAGACCAATCGACGCGAAATTTCGCGTGTAGATAGAGTTTAGGGCGGGGAAGAAGCCTACTAATTTGGGTGGTCATCGGATAATATTTAGCGGGTAAAATAGACCATATCTTTTGTGTTGAAAAATCAAAATTTTTCATTAAACCGTGATTTTAAACCCCGGCGAAATCACAAAGCCATCACAAGGTTACTTCTGACCTTTACATTGATGTTAACATCCAACAAATCGGATATATAGCAAAATGTGTGCGATATATATGTCTATCAAAGAAGATATGCTTGAAAGATCTCTTATATGTCGAGAACGACTGAACTGATTTCGACAGTTCTCATTAATTTAGAATAGCCTCTTGGCAGGAAAGAAAAAACGTCTAAAAAATCGCATAAAAATATTTCTCTAAAGATGAAAATATTGATTTTGTAAAATTTTCTCATATTTTTTCAATTTTGTCATATTTTTGTCATATTTTCATTTTGAATTAAATATTTGGTAATATTTCTACAGCTAACAAAACTAAGTAGTTAGGATATCAGGATATCATATACAGATCGCATTTATGGCCCGATACTTACGAAATTTTGCATGGGGATAAGATGAGGGTCAGAATAGAAGTCTACTCTTTTTGGAGATGATCGCCATATATTTAGGGGTTGAAATGGACCAAAAAACTGCAAAATTGTCGGCAGGTCGTAATTATCGCCCGATCCTCACGCACATTTGAATGGGGGTTACCGTACATTGCAAAAGCCAAGCAGTTTTGGATGGCCATCCAAAAATATTCAATGTGTGAAGGAGTTTGCCAACTTTTGTAGACAAAATACGAAAATGTCGATTCCAGTGACTTTTTGGAGAATTCACAAATACAGGAAAGACGCACTTCCGACTATTTCGTTAACGCTGATTTCGTTGAAGAATATAGTCAAATGTCTGTATCTCATATAGATGCGTTTCAGTCAAAAACCAATAATAAATGTTAATCTTTTGCCACTTCTGAGAGCTTATAGGTCTTTGGGAAATATTGGTTCCAGATCTAGGAAGACCATTTACGTGCAACATCTACCAATAAATTGGAAATGAGCAAATTAGTTTAAGTTGCTATTATTCGAAAATTAGAGAACGAAACCTGATGGTTTTCTTTTATTATTTGTCACAATATCTTGTGGAATTATGTCGAGTATTTCGCCTATATAAACTGTAAGGTTTATTATAGTGTTGTAGGGTATTTTGCTTACTTGTTATTATTGCCGTTATTAGAATAATTAATAATTTTAAATTTTCTACTTCCTTCACAGTTTTAAAATGATAAACGCACATATTATACGAATTGTTTTGCTCGTCGGCTGCTTTAAAACCTACCAAGCTGTCGTTAGTGTTTCATATTGCAATTTTGAAGATACCGTCGATTTAACTCATTCTCAGAAATTCACAAATGGATCCTATTTGTACGGCGACGATTTGATAATACCTGCCGAGCAGGTAAGCATCTACGATTACGAAATCATCTACGACGGAGATCGAATATCACGAGAACCACATCCGCGCGGTTGTGTCTGTCGACCGGGTGAGCGTAGCTGCATCAAATTTTGCTGTCATCCGCAAAGGCAAGCCTTGTCGAACAGCAGCCGCCAGTGTGAAGAGTTGTACGAAGTACCAAAATTTAATCACAACATGAAGGTGATCTCTCTGAATGGTACACGACGCATTGTCGATATAACCAAAGAGTTTACCATGGTCCTGGGCATACCGTGTGACAATGCCTATCCGTTGAATCCATTGATGAATTTGCACGAAAAATGGAATCTGCTGGAGAACGGGTCGTTGGTTTTGTACTATAATTTACGTATTTTAAGTAAGAGTGAGTATTGTTTTATGCCCGAGCTGAGGAGCGACAATGCCATCATTGGGGGCAGTCCATGGGTACTAAGTCCAATGATATGTCCGGTAGCGAAACCGGTTTCCATTTCAAGACTCTTCAATAATGTGGGTGAGTATTGCGGACAAACTTTCTTCCTTAGCTTCCATAAAACATACGAACATTTTATATTCCCCCTCTCCGTTACTCCAGCTGATTGCATATCCATAGTTTTCCTGGTACTCACAATTCTGGTAATCTTGGTGAAGCCCGAGAAAATCAATCTGCAAGAGAACAGTTTAATGTGCTTCCTGGTTGCGCTAACCATTGGCAATATCATTGTGGCTTCGACCTATATTTCTGATACCCAATTGACGGGTATCTGGTGCAGTATTGTAGGTATGGAAGCAGTTAAAAAATTTAAATTTTGACATTTATTGAAGCTTTAATTTGGTTAACAGGACTTGCAGGCTATTTCTTTTCGGTTGTATCTTTCTTTTGGCTAAATGTAATCTTTTTTGACCTGTTGAAGAGCATAGTGAATAGAGAAAACCACTTTGTCACATATTTAGCCTACGGCTGGGGTGTTCCAGCGGCCCTCACTGCAGTACTACTGATAATTCAAAACTCCAATATGCCCGAAAAATATAAACCCGGATTTGGTGAGGAATCCTGCTGGTTCAATTGTAAGTATGAAAAAAAATGTACCTATAAAAGAAGGACTTCTATTCAGAGATGAGAGAAAATGGACACAAAAAGAATGTCTTCCCATCGAAGACCTCGAAGACCTCTTCTCAATGAATAGCATATGGTTGTCTATTCCAATAAGAGCAGGAGGTCTACTCAAAGAAGACCATAGGGCTTTCAAATAGCAGATCAGCTGGCCTCCGCGGGTTTGCGCATTAAAGAGCAAGAAGTGTAGCACACGAACTTCAAATAAACGACGAGAGGGCCTCCTAGGAGAGCACGAGGTCTTCTCATAAAAAAGCATGAGGTATTCTCTTAGAAGAGCAAGAGGTTTTCTCATAGAAAAACGAAGTCTTTTCCTTGAAGAACACGAGGTTTTCTGATAGCAGAGCACGAAGTCTTCTCGTAGCAGAGCATGAGGTCTTCTCATAGAAGGAGGAGTTAATCATCTAACAGAAGACGAGGAGCTCATCTTATAGAAGACAAGCGGGAGGTTTTCTCATAAAAGATGATTTTTTTCATAGAAGAGCAACGATGAATAGTTCTTCGACTAGAAGGCGAGAAGGTTTTCGCATACAGGGTGAGATGAAAAAAAAATGCAACTGCTGTCATTTCTAAGCCATTCCTCCGACAGCTGTTAAAATTATTTCAGTGACAGCTTATTATATTGTTTACAAGCGTACAGAAGCATTTTGATGAGAATTTTCCAGAAAAAAAGTTATTCGTGATGGAATTCAAGCGTGATAGTGGAAAGCAACAAGTGGCTATCGTTAGAGCACTCCAGCATTTAAATGTGAATAAATATTTTGTGTCTCGTACCATCGCTCATTACCGTGGTACTGGTAGCGTAGCCCGACGCCAAGGAAATGGACGGAAGAAAACAGCAACATCAGCAAAAATGGTAAGGAAGCGACTTGATCGAGATCCGCGTTGCAGTAGCCTAAAAGTGAGCTCGGGGTAAAGCCATTGAAATTACAACAGAAAACATTCGTTGTCCAGCAGTTTGTAAACAAACAAAATGATCGTGTTTACTTGCCAAAGAGGTCAGCTGAAAATGTACACCTTCGGTTGGCCACCAGAACTTAAGCGCCGGCCATGCTGATGGTGTGGGCCGCCATAACAGCCGATGGTCGCTCTCCGCTCGTATTAATCGACCGTGGCATTAGAATAAATGCCAAAGCCTTGGGCACGCAAACATTTTGACCGCAGACCTTGGACATTTCAACAGGACTCAGCACGCGCCACCCAAGAATTGTTACAAAATGAGGTTTCTCGCTTCATTTCCAGCGCACAATGGCCACCAAAATCTCCGGATACCAATCCGTTGGACTATTGTGTCTGGAGTATTGTGGAAAGTAAGGTTGGCTCTTAAAAAAATAACAAAGTGTCGATCACCTCAAGCAAGCGCTTCGCCGGGAATGAGCCAAAATACCATAGAGTAACATTCGGACAGCGTGTGACGGTTTCATTGGCCATTTGATGGGCATAATTCGTGCCAAAGGTGACCAATTCGAATAAATCTAAACTTATTCTAAAATTTTATGCTATTTTCCACATTTTTTGCTTTCATTTATTAAATTTAAAAAAAAATGTAAAAATTATGGCGTTTGAATTTGTTGCAGTTTTTTATCTTGCCCTGTAGAAGACGGAAAAGACTTTCGTATGGAAGACGAGAAGGTCTTCGCATAGAATCCACTATTATTTCTTCAATCTATAAAAGTTGTCATGTTATTTATTTATCTTCCAGCTAATAATTTCTCAGCTCTATTCTACTTGTATGGCCTAAATATATTCCTATTGTGTTTGAATATTTTCTACTACATTACGACATGGCACAAGATGAAATCTGTTCTACAACATCAACCCACAAGGAAGGACGATTTGGTGAAGAGGTAGAGGGAAAAGAATTCGTAAAAAATCTCAAAATATTAAATTTAAATTGTGTGTTTTTTTATTACTTTGCAGTGCCGATCAGTATGGCCGTTTATTAATTCTCATGATAGTATTGGCTTGTTTCGAAACCATATCGAATATCGAAAGTGTTCTACATCCGAATAGTGAAACCATATGGTATTTTGTGGCAGATTTTGTTGATGCCCTGGAGGGTCCGGTGATCTTTTGGATATTTGCTGTGAGACCAATCATTGATATAAGGTATGGAATTTATTTGTGATTCGTTAAATTTAAAAAAGAAAAATAATGAAATATTCAATTTTACAGAAGAAATCGTTTCCTGGAAAACGGCAATCGGTATGATCCCTTGGACGAGGGCATTACTTTATCTGATGCTCCGGGTTTTAAAGCGGAAAATGGCCATCAAATTTATGACCGTTTTTAAAACGCTGGCAACGGAGCAGTTCCCGTTTCAGAGGAGAGAAAGCAATATTTTAAACCAAATAAAGACATCATTAATGTTTAAGGCGAAAATATCAAACTGGTTTTCCAAGAAGTACTCTGCGCGCATACCGCGCATTGAGCGTGAAAAGAAAGTACTTAACATTCAAAATTATGTTAGCCATTATAATACAATTTTAATAACTTTAAATGATTATTCGAATAAGACATTGTTCCTTTTGGACGCTCTGCAGACATGCAGAAATATATATATATATATATATATATTATAATATAGGTATATTTAAAAATTATATAAGTATTAAAAACAATGTAAATAGTTCCGTCTTAGTATTTAAAAGCAATCGTTTGGAAAGCCAAGTATCTTTCATGTTCTACCACGACATTATGTTTTTTTTTTTGTTTTTAACAGCAGATGAATTGTTTTGTATGAATTATATTTCCTTGAAATAATACTCTGGGCTGTGACTTTAAATATACTCAGATATCATGATGAATAAAAAAGCTAAGATGTTGAGTCATTTCTTAGCTAAGTTGGAATACATTTATGTCTATTTTCATACAACGGTCGTACAATTTTGAAGTACTGTCACAAGGGAGCTATACCTATATTGCATATTATTTCATAAAAGCAAATGTACCCACATAGAGACCAAAATGCCAAAATAACAGCTAATTGAGCTGGATAATGGGGTCAAATTCTTAAAAATTAGATGGGAGCTATCTATGCCTAAAAGTGAACACATTCGGACTCATAAATCTATGAAAGAGTAGTGAAATAACTGACTGATAGACCTAGAATCAACGACAGACGAAAAGACTGAAGCTAGAATTTTTAAATTTGACGAGGGAGGAGGGTAAACAAATTTATCTATACTGGATATTTTTTATTTGAGGTGGATAATGGGGTCAAATTCTTAAAAATTAGATGGGAGCTATCTATGCCTAAAAGTGAACACATTGGCACTCATAAATCTATGAAAGAGTAGTGAAATAACTGGCTGATGGACCTAGAATCAACGACAGACGAAAAGACTGAAGCTAGAATTTTTAAGTTTGACGAGGGAGGAGGGTAAAAAAATTTTTCTATACTGCATATTTTTTATTTACAGGGTGAGATGAAAAACTGCTACCAACTTCAGACTGCTGTCATTTCTAAGCCACACGTCCGACAGCTGTTAAAATTATTGCAGTGACAGCTCATTATACTACTTACAAGCGTACAAAAGTATTTTTGTAAGAATTTTCAAAAGAAAAAGTTATTCGTGGTGGAATTCGTGATGGAATATATTTGGCTTGAAAACCATAAGTGGCTATCGTTAGAGCACTCCAGCATTTAAATGTGAATAAATCTTTCGTGCCTCGTACCATCGCTCGTTGCCGTGATACTGGTAGCGTAGCCCGATGTCAAGGAAGTGGACGTAAGAAAACAGCAACATCAGCAGAAATGGTTCGAAAAGTAAAGAAGCGACTTGATCGAAACCCACGTCGCAGTGATCGAAAAATGTCTCATGAGCTGAACATATCGCAATATTACATTCGGCAAATATTAAAAAAAAGAGCTCGTGGTAAAGCCATTGAAATTCCAAAAAGTGCAAGAACTTCCACCACAACGGAAAGAAAATACACTCAAAAGTGCTAAGGAGTTGCTTGGCTTGGCCGAAAGTGGTGAACTATCGAATTTGGTTTTCTCCGATGAGAAAACATTCGTTGTCCAGCAGTTTGTAAATAAAAACAACATTTACTTGTCAAAGAGGTCAACAGAAAATGTGCACATTCGGTTGGCCACCAGAACTCAAGCGCCGGCCATGGTGATGATGTGGGCCACCATTACAGCCAATGGTCGCTCTCTTTCTCATTAGAATAAATGCCGAATATTATAACGAAAATATTCTGGTGGGTGTATTAAAGCCTTGGACAGGCAAACATTTTGGCCGCAGACCTTGGACATTCCAACAGGACTCAGCACCATCGCACTCAGCAAGCGCCATCCAAGAATAGTTACAAAATGAGGTTCCTCGTTTAATTTCCAGCGCACAATGGTCACCCAAATCTCCAGATACCAATCCGTTGGACTATTGTGTCTGAAGAATTTTGGAAAATAAGGTTGGCATTAAAAAATACTCAAGCTAGCGCTTCGCCGGTAATGGGCCAAAATACCGCAGAGCAACATTGTGACGGTTTCATTGGCCGTTTGAAGGCTATAATTCATGCCAAAGGTGACCAATTCGAACAAATCTAAACTTATTCTAAAATTTGATGCTATTTCCCACATTTTTTGCTTTCATTCGCAAAACTTGCTTCACTTTGGTAAAACAATTTCACAATGAGTATGCGTTGTTATTTCGTGCAGCACTCCATTTTTGCTTACCTTGTACTGGCAAACAGTAACAATTGTTCATCAAATGTCAAAAAATGACACTTAAAATTGCGCCAAATTTAAAAATTTAGTTGGAACACCCTTTACAAAAAGTACATCATTCAAAAGTCAACAACCTGTCATAATCAATTGTTATTTTTATTAAAATATCTAATAAGAGCTGTGTTGTGCGAGCGGAGCACGTGCTTAGCCGGGGTTTTGCCAAACATTTTATTTTTCATGCGAACTCAATGAAGAAGCGCTGCCAGACAGCGTTGCATTGAGTCACTGCAAATTCTAAGACTTGATTTTTTTTTCTTCTAAATAACACTGGGCGACACAAAAAGTAGTTGCAAGGAAAAACTGGTAGAAATGTCTATTCGAATTTCGAAATTTTAAATCGGGAGGTAACCAAAGTTACTGTCATTTTTATTTTTTATACCCTACACCACAAGGTGGTCAGGGTATTATGTCTTTGTGCATTTGTTTGTAACAGGCAAAAGGAAACGAGATAGATCCATAGTTCCTTTTGATGATCTGCATAGAATCACTTTCTGAGTTGATTTATGAATGTCATTCCGTCTGTCCGTCCGTCCGTCTGTCCATGTATTCTTGTGAACAAAATGCAGGTCGCATTTATTATCCGATTGAGATGAAACTTTGCAAACAACATTTGTTTAGCCCAAGGACGAACCCTATTGAAATTGGAGATAATCGGTAAAAATTTAGATATAGCTCCCATATATATCTTCGTCCGATTTGCCTCTTATTGTGCACCAAACGTGTAATATCAGCCCGAATAGTATGAAATTTTGCACATACAACCAAATGAGGCCTGAAAATAAGTATGCAAAATTTGATCGAAATCGGTACAGATATAGCTATAGCTCCCCTATATATTGTTCATCCGATTTGTTATTTTTGTCCTCCGCAGCCGTAATATGCACTCTGTAACAACAATATTTGGGGAAATATATCAAATGCAGCTCAGAAATACCTTTGCTAAATTTTATCGAGATCGGTTCAGATTTGGATATAGCTCCCATATATAACTTCGTCCGATTTACCTTTTATTGTGCACCAAACGTCTAATATTTGCCCAAATGGGATGGAATTTGGCACATACGACCGAATTGAGTCTAGAAGGTAGTATGCCAAATTTGGTGAATATCGGTTCAGATATAGCTAAAGCTCCCATATATATTGTTCATCCGATTTGTTGTATTTGTTACCTACAGCCGTAGTATGCACTCCGTAACAACGATATTCAGGGAAATATATCAAATACAACTCAAAAATATCTTTGCCAAATTTTATCGAGATCGGTTCAGATTTGGATATAGTTCCCATATATATCTTTATCTGATTTCAAATTTATTTTGCACCAAAGGGGCAATACAAGTCCGAATTTAAAAGATACAAATGCTTTGGCATATTTAGTCCATTGAATTTTAAATTATAATTATAATCATAGCGTGTATAATTGAATTCTCCCATAAAAACTTTCAACTCAACTAAATTAGCAAAGTGGTGTAGGGTATCATAAAATCGGCCCCGCCCGACTTAGGACTTTCTTTACTGTTTTTTTTTTATATTCGTCTTTGGCAAAAATCCAGGGAATATTTTTTGTTAAAAAACTAACCCTCAATCGAGAGACTTTTAGTTTAAAAGATGTAAAAATTGTCGCCCCATTTTGGTTGACTCCCTATGCAATTTTTAAAAAAAAAATATTATTTCGACGCATAGTGTAACGAAATGAGTCAGCAAATGATTTGTGGTAATTTATTTATTTTTTTTTTTTTAGAAAATTTGGTGTTTTGTAATCTTATTTCCATTTGTCAACCTGATTTAGAAATGACTAAATTAATATATAATAAAAACACATCGTAGTCGTAAAAAATATCTACTGTATAATATATAGATTGTAATCTCTTGATCGATTTCATTAAGTATTTCAAAAAAAAAAACTTGTTTTTAGTGACCTAAAAGCTCAGCGATTAAAGTGGTTCTTTGTAAAAATTTAATTTCATTTACATGGCAAATAATATTTGTATTATTCATAGTCACACAGTGGCTATGAAGATGAACAATTTTGCGGAAGCAGAGGATCGTTTTTCGTTCAATAGAAAAAAAGGGTAAACTATAGAAAAAAAAATACCCCCAGTGAACCAGTAAAACCTTTTTCATAATGCAGTTAAACTTATCAAAAAACCATTAAGTGAGTGTGGACGTTATATGGGGCCGTACCAAAACGGGAATCTTATAGACAATTTTATTCGTCAAGGATTGTCATCTATCAAATCTTCTAAAATACCAAATTTGAAACAATTATGTGGGTAAATTTGGCTAGGATTATCAAATATATATGTATATATATACCAAAACGTGGACCAACACATATAATGTTTCGCCACACGAGCTACAACCCATTACGAACTACAAATACCAATTCCTGGACAAATCCGTTACAAAATGTGAGAAAAAAACCATAAAAACACCGAATATTGGGAGGTACCGTTATATGGGGGCTATACAATACAATGTTTCGTCATACGAGCTAGAATCCATTATGACCCACAAATAGCAGTTTTTAGCAAATTTGTTTGTATACCCTCCACCTTGGAAAGGTGAAAACTACTAATAATCCCATTAAACTACTGAGGATCGATTTTTTTCTATAGAAAAAATACCCTCAGCTAACTTAGGATCGATAGTTTTTATAGCAAACTGAAGATCGATTTTTTTTCTGTAGAAAAAAATTGATTGCTAGAAAAAATAGCCTCAGCAAAATGCGAATCGATTTTTTTTCTGTAGAAAAAAATTGTTTTAGCAAACTAAAGAAAAAATACCTCAGTAATCTGAGGATCGATTAAGTTAAATGTAAGTTCGGCCGGGCCGAACTTTGAATACCCTCCACAATTTTTAACGAATTTGGTAAATCTAAAAACAAAAACAATCTGTTAAAATCTTAACAAGTAAAAAAGCTGTAAGTTCAGCCGGGCCGAACTTTTAATACACTCCACCATTTGGTACAAATTTGACAATTTCCAAAAAAAAAAAATCCGTTAAAAATTCTGTTAAAATCTTAAAAATTCCGTAATGCCTATACGATGACGTAGACCTGCATAGGCAACTTTTGTCATAAGTTATTACAATATTTAAATGCGAAACTTGAAGAAAAATCTGTTTATAATGTAGCTAAAATCATCAAAATACCGAATATTGGGGGTACGGTATATGGGGGCTATACGAAGACGTGGACCTACATGGTCCATTTTCTGTATTATGCTGCAGAATCTATTACGAACTTCAAATACCAAATTTGGAACGATTCCGTTAAATAATGTCGCTAAAATCATCAAAATACCGAATATCGGGAGGTACCGTTATATGGGGGCTGTACGAAGACGTGGACCTACATGGCTCATTTTTTAATTTAGGATGTAGTATCCATTACGAACTTCAAGTGCCAAATTTGAAACAATTCCTGTGAATAATGTCGCTAAAATCATCAAAATACCGAATATCGGGAGGTACCGTTATATGGGGGCTATATGATAACTTGGACCTACATGGCCCATTTACGAACTTAACCTGCCTACTGGCAAAATATACGTGTGTGCAAAATTTGAGCCTTCTATCTCAATTTGTTCGAAAGATAGCGTGATTACAACAGACAGACAGACATACGGACAGACAGACAGACAGACGGACATGGCTAAATCTTCTTAGAATTTTACGATGATCAAGAATATATATACTTTCTTGGGTCTGAAATGAGTATTTCGAGGCGTTACAAACGGAATGACAAAATTAATAAAACCTCCACAGTATGGTGGAGGGTATGAATAATGTGGCTAAAATCATCAAAATACCGAATATCGGGAGTACCGTTTTATGGGGGCTATACGAAGACGAGGACCTGCACAGACAATTTTCTGTCTTAGGCTGTAGTATCCATTTCGAACTTCAAATACCAAATTTTAAACAATTCCGACGAATAATGTCGCTAATATTAAAATGTCAAAATACAGAATATCGGGAGGTACGTTATATGGGGACTATACCAAAACGTGGACCTACATAGCCCATTTTTTATGCCAAAGATCCTGCAGACATAACATACATTTGAGTAAAATATTATCAATCTACTTCAATTCGTTCGGAAGCTAGAGCGATATCCACAGACGGGCGGACTTGACTAAATCGACATAGAATTTTATGCTGATCAAGAATATATATACTTTGTGGGGTCAAAAAGGTACAATTCGAGATGTTACAAACGGAATAACAAACTTAATATACCCTCCATACTATGGCGGAGGGTATAAAAATGCCTCGGTAAACTGAGGATCGATTTTTTCTATGGAAAAAAAAATTGTCTCCGTAAATTAGGAATCGATTTTTTTCTAAAGAAAAAATGCCTCAGCAAAATGAGGATCGAAAATTTTTTATAGAAAAAATACCCTTTACGAAATGAGAATCGAATTTTCTTCTCTGTAGAAAAAAAAATTCTCATAATAATGAGGACTATTTTCTCCCTCACAGCAGTACTAAAAGGGACACTGTGCTGGATGGTATACCCTCCGGTTCACTATTATTTTGGTATATAAGTCGGACCAAAGGCACATTTTATTGATGAAAAAACATTGACATAACCCAATGTGCCCTCCTATAGTCAATGTGTGGTTTACAACTCAGCCACTCACTCTCCGCCTCTCTGCGGCATACCTAACCATTGAATCTACATTTATTGTTTTAAATTCCCTGCAGTCAAATCAATACCATTGCAGCGTGAACGACGGCTCGTATAAATGACGCGCATAATTTTCTTATTGCTGTTGTTAGCGATTTCTTCGGCGTTGGCAATACGGACGGGCAAAGAAAAATGTCCTTTCAACGACACGGTGGATCTGTCAAACTACATGCCCTACGACAACGGTTCCTATAGCTATCAAAATATTATAATACCCAAAGCTAATGTCAGTATCTATGAGTATCGCTTGGAATTTCTGGATATTCGGCGTCCCGTACCTGGTCACCCTCGAGCTTGTGTATGCGGTCCCAGGCACCATGGAAAATATTGTATCAAATTGTGTTGTGAACCTGGAGAATTCTACAATGAAACTTCATTGAGCTGTATGGAAATTCCGCGATATCAAAATGTGCCGAGTGAAATGACAATTATGGCCGAGGATTATGAACAGAAGTTGGTAAATGTGTTTCAGAAATTTACATATCAAGTGGGTCTGCCATGTGACAAGCCAAAAGTTCTATCCAGCGATTTGGACACATGGGACATTTTAGAGGTAAGTCATAACGTTCGGATGGAAGCTGAATCACAGGAAAAAAAATTGAACGGTCGGATAAAGTTGTAGTGAGTCAGATGCTGCAGTTACAGTAATTTAGATGAGCAATAAGGTTTATTTTTATAGCGCCAGCAGTTTCAAGCAAGCTTATCATTGGAAATATTGAGAGAAATAAAAGAGATTCTTAAAAAAGAATGTATCTTTCCCCGTCTATGACAAATAGTTAAGAACTAGAAGACGCCTCCAAGATTCTGTATAAGGCAGGGTCCTTTCTAAATTCTCTAATGTATAGGAGAACATTTGGTCTCTTGGTATGCGACATCTCTTTGTGAAATCCATCGTATTTTGGTGATTGATAAACTACCATCAGACCATCTGTTAATAGCATTGGAACCTTTTCTTGATATTTTGTACCAGAAATACCAGTTAAAGTGTAAAGTTGGTCATACATACAATAATTTTCTCGCCTTTTATGAGCTGATCTTCGAGCTACTTTAAGATAAGAAGAGCTTTGTCCTCGTGGATGTGACAGAAGTAGAAAACCAGCTGTTCTTCCGTAAGACATTTTTGTAGGAGAAGGCAACCTGCTCTTTTGATCTCTCCATGAAGAGACTCTTCCTCTTTCTAAGATAAGCCCCTTAAACTTTTATGAGAAGGTAGTTTCGCCTTCTAAGAGAAGACCATTCAGCCTTCTATGGAAGACCTTCTAGTCTTCTATGGGAAGACCTTATAGTCTTCTATAGGAAGACTCTTTGGCCTTCTATGAGAAGATCATTCGGCCTTCTATGGGAAGACCTTCTAGTCTTCTATGGGAAGACACTTTTGTCTTTTATGCGAAGACTCTTTGGTCTTTTATGGGAAGAGTCTTTGGTATTCTATGAGAAGACTCTCTGGCCTTCTTGGAGAAGACCCTCTGCTTTCCTATGGGAAGATACTGTTTTTCTATAAAGAGACCCTCAGATATTCTATGGGAACGCCCTGTGGTCTTCTATGAGAAGACCATTTAGCCTTCTATGGAAGACCTTCTAGTCTTCTATGGGAAGACCTTCTAGTCTTCTATAGGAAGACCTTCTAGTCTTTTATAGGAAGACCTTCTAGTCTTATATGGAAAGATTTTCTAGTCTTCTATTGGAAGACTCTTTGGCCTACTATGAGAAGACCATTCGGCCTTCTATGGGAAGACCTTCTAGTCTTCTATGGGAAGACCCTTTTATATTTTATACGAAGACTCTTTGGTCTTCTATGGGAAGACCCTTTGGTGTTCTATGAGAAGACTCTCTGGTTTTCTATGAGAAGATCCTCTACGTTTTTTATGAAAAGACCCACTGGTCTTCTATAGGAATACCCTCTGGTTTTCTATGAGAATATCCTCAGGTCTTCTGGAGAAGACCCTCTAGTTTTATGGGAAGACCCACTTATCTTCTTTAAGAAGGGAAGACCTTCTAGTCTCCTATAGGAAGACTCTTTGGCCTTCTATGAGAAGACCATTCGGCCTTCTATGGGAAGACCTTCTAGTCTTCTATGGGAAGACACTTTTGTCTTTTAAGCGAAGACTATGGGAAGAGTCTTTGGTATTCTATGAGAAGACTCTCTGTCCTTCTTGGAGAAGACCCTCTGGTTTTCTATGGAAATATACTGTTTTTCTATATGAAGACCTTCAGATTTTCTATGGGAACGCCCTGTGATCTTTTATGAGAAGACCATTTAGGCTTCTATGAAAGACCTTTTAGTCTTCTATGGGAAGACCTTCAAGTCTTCTATAGGAAGACCTTCTAGTCTTCTATAGGAAGACCTTCTAGTCTTCTAAAGGAAGACATTCTAGTCTTCTATAGGAAGAACTCCTAGTCTTCTATAGGAAGACCTTCTAGTCTTCTATGGGAAGACTTTCTAGTCTTCTGTAGGAAGACTCTTTGGCCTTCTATGAGAAGACCATTCGGCCTTCTATGGGAAGACCTTCTAGTCTTCTATGGGAAGACCCTTTTATATTTTATACGAAGACTCTTTGGTCTTCTATGGGAAGACCCTTTTGTGTTCTATGAGAAGACTCTCTGGTTTTCTATGGGAAGATCCTATAGGTTTTTATGAAAAGACCCACTGGTCTTCTATAGGTATTCTATGAGAATATCCTCAGGTCTTCTGGAGAAGAAAAGACCCACGGATCTTCTATCTTATCTTCTTTGAGAAGATCCTTTGGTCTTTTATGGGAAGACCCTCGGGTCTTCTCTGAGAAGGCCCTCTAGGTTTCTATGAGAAGAACCTTTGGTTTTTTTGAGAAGACCTTCGTTCTATGAATATATTGCTATCCATCTATGAAGAGTCCTTAAGCTTTTCTTTGCTGACCCTGTGGTCTTCTATGAGAAGAGCCTCGGGCCTTCTCTAAGAAGGCCCTCCAGGTATCTATGAGAAAAGCCTTTGTTTTTTATGAGAAGACCTTCGTTACTTCTATGTATAATATTGTATATCCATCCATGAAAAGTCCTTAAGCTTTTCTTTGCTGCTGGATTCTTAGTAGAACATGAGAGAGAGAGAAAAAGAAAAGTTAAATGATAAAATTTAGATTCAACGGGGAAAACATTATCCGAATTCAACATTGCCATAATAATGCTTTTTTATACCCTACACCACAAGGTGGTCAGGGTATTATGTCTTTGTGCATTTGTTTGTAACAGGCAGAAGGAAACGAGATAGACCCATAGTTCCTTTTGATGATCTGCATAGAATCACATTCAGAGTCGATTTATGCATGTCCGTCCGTCCGTCTGTCCGTCCGTCTGTCCATGTATTTTTGTAAACAAAGTACAGGTCGCATTTATTGCCCGATCCAGATGAAATTTTGCAAAGATCTTTTGTTTGGCCCAAAGACGAACCCTATTGAAATTGGAGATAATCGGTACAAATTTAGATATAGCTCCCATATATATCTTCGTCCGATTTGTCTTTTATTGTGCACTAAACGTGTAATATCAGCCCGAATAGTATGGAATTTTGCACATACAACCAAATTAGGCCTCGAAATAAGTATGCCAAATTTGATCGAAATCGGTTCAGATATAGCTATAGCTCCCATATATATTGTTCATCCGATTTGTTATTTTTGTCCTCCGCTGCCGTAATATGCACTCTGTAACAACAATATTTGGGGAAATATATCAAATGCAGCTCAGAAATACCTTTGCTAAATTTTATCGAGATCGGTTCAGATTTGGATATAGCTCCCATATATAACTTTGTCCGATTTACCATTTATTGTGCGCCAAACGTCTAATATTTGTCTAGAAGGTAGTATGCCAAATTTGAGGGTCGGTTCAGATATAGTTATAGCTCCCATATATATTGTTCATCCGATTTATTGTATTTGTTACCCACAGCCGTAATATGCACTCCGTAACAACGATATTCAGGGAAATATAACAAATACAGCTCAGAAATATCTTTGCCAAATTTTATCGAGATCGGTTCAGATTTGGATATAGTTCCCATACATATTTTTATTCGATTTCAAATTAATTTCGCACCAAATGGGCAATACAAGTCCGAATTTAAAAGATACAAATGCTTCGGCATATTTAGTCCTTTGAATTTTAAATTATAATTATAATCATAGCGTGTATGATTGAATTCTCCCATAAAAACTTTTAATTATTAAGTGGAGCTCAACTAAATTAGCAAAGTGGTGTAGGGTATCATAAAATCGGCCCCGCCCGACTTTAGGACTTTCTTTACTGGTTGTTATTGTTTTAGAAATGCAAAAGCATAATTTTAACTTTTCTTTAGGACGGTACTCTTATGATCTCCAATTATGATGCGCACTTAGACACGGTTAGTTATTGTCTAACGCCAAAATGGGATGATTCCTTAAATTTAAATGTTTTTATGCCGATGAGCTGTCCAATGAAGTCTGAAGTTCAATTTTCAACAATTCTGAATACCTATGGTAAGTAAGTGTTTGTTTTTATTGTGGCTCAATCTCTAAACACTGTTTTAAACGAATTTCGACAGGAATGCTGTTATCGGTGTCATTTCTAGTACCAACAATTGCCGTTCATTTGCTGTTGAAGGAACTCAGGGAAAATTTGAAGAATAAGATATTGATTTGCTATCTACTTTCTCTGACTGTGGGCTATTTAATTATATCTCTGATTAATATAACCCAGGCACGATTTGATTTTGTTTCATGCAGCATAATTGGTAATTACAACAAATTACGTGGTAAATGTGTTGGTAAATGTAGTTATGTCTTCATTTCTAGGTTATATCGGCTATTACTTCCTCATGGCAGCCTTTGTTTGGATCAGCGTTTTGTGTTTTGAGCTATGGTATAATTTCAAAGCCCAATCATATGAATTCTGTACCAGTCGATGTTTGCGCCGTTTCAAGATCTATTCAATGTATGCATGGGGCTTATCCGCCCTTATGACAGCTATTGTCGTATGGACACAGTTATCGGATTATGTTGATGATTTATATAAGCCCGGTATTGGTATTAAAGTCTGTTGGCTTGATAGTAAGTATGATAAAAAAAAGAGCAAAGCTATCCTGGATTCGAGATATTTATTTCAAATTACGTTTTAAATATTCTATGCAACAGCCAGAAAATGGTCAGCTGCCTTGTATTTCTATGGACCAAACACGATCATTTTGATCTTTAGTGCAATCACATTTGTCTACGTGACCATGAAAATGTATCGAATGCGCTGCGATTCTATTACGAAGATACAAAAACAGAGTTTTTTCCAGGAAAAGTAAGTAGAAAGAAAAGGAAAGTATTGTTACCAATTGCAACTAATTGAAAAAACCAGTAAAGAAAATCCTAAAGTCGGGCGGGGCCGATTTTATGATACCCTACACCACTTTGCTAATTTAGTTGAGCTCCACATAATAATTAAAAGATTTTATGGGAGAATTCAATCATACACGCTATGATTATAATTATAATTTAAAATTCAAAGGACTAAATATGCCGAAGCATTTGTATCTTTTAAATTCGGACTTGTATTGCCCATTTGGTGCAAAATTAATTTGAAATCAGATAAAGATATATATGGGAACTATATCCAAATCTGAACCGATCTCGATAAAAATTGGCAAAGATATTTTAGAGCTGTATTTGATATATTCCCCTGAATATCGTTGTTACGGAGTGCATATTACGGCTGTAGGTAACAAATACAACAAATCGGATGAACAATATATATAGGATCTATAGCTATATCAGAACAGATCTTCATCAAATTTGACATACTAGCTTCTAGACTCAATTCGGTCATAAGTGCCAAATTCCATCCTATTTGGACAAATATTTGACGTTTGGTGCACAATAAAAGGTAAATCGGACGAAGTTATATATGGGATCTATATCCAAATCTGAACCGATCTCGATAAAATTTAGCAAATGTATATCTGAGCTGTATTTGATATATTTCCCCAAATATTGTTGTTACAGAGTGCATATTACGGCTGCGGAGGACAAAAATAACAAATCGGATGAAAAATATATATGGGAGCTATAGCTATAACTGAACCGATTTCGATCAAATTTGGCATACATATTTTCAGGGCTAATTTGGGTGTATGCGCAAAATTCCATACAATTCGGGCTGATACTACACGTTTGGTGCACAATAAAAGGCAAATCGGACGAAGATATATATGGGAGCTATGTCTAAATTTTGACCGATTATTTCCAATTTCAATAGGGTTCGTCCTTGGGCCAAACAAATGATCTGTGCAAAATTTCATCTCAATCGGATAATAAATGCGACCTGCATTTTGTTCACAAGAATACATGGACAGACGGACGGACTGACATGCATAAATCAACTCAGAAAGTGATTCTACGCAGATCATCAAAAGGAACTATGGGTCTATCTCGTTTCCTTTTGCCTGTTACAAACAAATGCACAAAGACATAATACCCTGACCACATTGTGGTGTAGGGTATAAAAAACACCATTTTGATTTTGCTAGCGATACAGGCCTGGGGACGCGAGCCCTATACTATGGGTATTACTATATTTTTAAGAAAAAAGATTTTAAAAACGTGGATTTTAAAAATATATTTTTCAGAGTCAAACTGGGAAGCGTGGATTTTTTAAAATGTAATATATTTTTAAGGATCATCAAGGGCACCAAACATGGATTTATAAGAATTTTCTCCAAGGAACAAGACAACAAAACCTGGTTTATAAAAATTATGATTGAAGGATTTTGGTCCCAGAATATTCAGGCCCAGAAAACCTGATTTTTTAGATAATTTATCAGGACCATTCGAGCTCTATAAGCAGGATTAAAAAGAGTATATTTTAAGAACTATCAGAGCCACAAAACCTTTACCTTTGAAAAAATGTTTGGAAGGATTGTCAAACCATTTGAGAGTATTCTTCTAAGAAAAGTGAAGGCCACAAAATCTGCTTCTTTAGAATGTTTGTAAAGATAAACCTGGGATTTTGGAATCATTTTTCAAGGATTTCTGTTTCGTGGCATGTTTTCGAATATTTTCCAAATGCCATTAGGACTTTATTATTTAGATTATATATTTCACGGACCATCAGGATCTCCAAACCTGGTAATACACTTTAGCTAAACGGAATCGTAAAAGTTAGTATTGAGGAAGATTGATTGATTGAAATTAAAACAAGTAAGCAAAGGCTACAGTCGAGCGGGGCCGGCCGTTGAATTCCCTACAACACTATAATAAACGATACAGTTTATATAGGCGAGATACTCGAAAGAATTCCACAAGATTTTTAGATGTTTTTTCTTTCCTAACAAGAGGCCATTCTGAATTAATGAGAACTGTCGAAATCAGTTCAGCCGTTCTCAACATATAAGATATCTTTGAAGCATATCTTCTTTGATAGACATATATATCGCACATATTTTGCTATATATCTGATTTCTTGGATGTTAACATCAATGTAAAGATCAGAAGTAACCTTGTCATGGCTTTGTGATTTCGACAGGACTTAAAATATTCGCGGTTTAATGAAAAATATTGAATTTTTTCAACACAAAAGATATGGTCTATTTTACCCGCTAAATATTATCCGATGACCACCCAAATTGGTAGGCTTCTTCCCCGCCCCAAACTCTAGCTACATGCAGTCTATATTTGCGACCTGTATAGTTACTGCAAATCCGACATTTTTTCAGTATTTGGTCCATTTCAACCCCTAAACATTTGGCGATCATCTCCAAAAGAAATAGGCTTCTATTCTGACCCTAACCCCACCTTCGTGCAAAACTTCGTAAGAATCGGGCCATAATTGCGACCTGTAGCGTGATTACAAATTAACATGGAGACGGACAGACGGACGGACGGACATACATATCTAGATCGACTCAGCTCGGCGAGCTAGGAAGATCCATATATATTTTCCTATATGGGAAACCAATATTTCGAGGTGTTACATAAATTCTGGCCCAATCAAACTTATAATACACCCAACACATAGTGTTGAAGGGTATAAAAATATATATATACAGTATCAGTCGGTTTTGCTAACAGATATATACCCTTAGCCTAAATCTTGAACCCTATGTGGGGAAGGTACCAGAAGGTATTGTCCGATCTCTATCATCTCTATAACAGATCTTGTTTTGATGTTCGTATTGAGATGTTCCAAGTCTGAATGGACTCGGATTTTATGAGCTTGATGAATATTTACCAGGAGGAGTGGACCAATATATACCATCTTAAAATTTGGCCTTGGGTTAACAACAATATTGTATTGTATGCAATTTTAAGTCAATCGGACATTTTACAAGAGTTATAACATTTCACAATTTTGACCCTTTGTGGGGGAGGTACTTGATAGAGTATACCGACATATATTTTCTCAACTGACCTAGCGTGATGCAAATATTAGGATTTACAAAGTTGGAGCAATATCGGATTATCTTTTTTCTTGCTGTGCAGTAAAATAATTATTTTTTTTTTTTGAAAATTTTGATCTATTGTGGGGAAGGTACCAGAAGGTGTGGACCGATATACTCCACCTTCGCACAACACCTAGGGTTAGTAAAAACATAGTGTGTTGTGTGTAATTTGAACAAATGACTCTTACATCACATTTTATAAGAGTTATAATTATTCAAAATGTTGACCCGTTGTGGGGGTGTACTTGATGGAGTGGTCCGATATTGTATATTTTCGCACCTGACCTGGCACTGATGCAAATATAAGAACTCGCAAAGTTGGAGCAAAATCGAATAATTCTTTCACTTTCTGTGCAGTATATCAATTTTTTTTTTGAAAATTTTGACATTTTTTGAGGGAGGTACCAGAAGGAGGGGAACGATATTGCCCATCTCCGAACTCGACATTAGTTTGACAATAATATTACAATGTACCAAACTTGGATCAAATCGAATACTCTCTTCGAGAGTTATCATGCGCACCAGCCAGATAGACGGACGGACGGACATCGCTAGATCGAATGTAAATGTCCTAAAACGGATTTGGTCCAAAGAGACCAAAGTTAATATAAGTTTTAGTATAAACCCGACAGATATCTGTATCTTTAGATATTCTGTATGTTGATGATTTGTTTCAGTTTTCAACTGGATTGTTTTTTTGGATTTGGTATTTTTGAACTTCGCAATGGGTACTTCCTGCTATGACAGAAAATTATACGTACAGTTCCACGTCATTGTATAGCCCCCATATAACGGTACCTCACGAAAATCGGTATTTTTATGATTTTATTTATATTTTTTTACAAAATTTCAATATTCTTGGTCAACATTTTTAATATCCATGAAGTTCATAAAAGGCGAAATTAACATTCAGTTCCATTCAAACTTCGCAAGACCAACACAAAATTCGGTATTTTTATGATTTTATTAATATATTTTACAAAATTGCATTATTCTTGGTATTTGGAGTTCGTAAGCGGTACCACCTTCTCCGACAGATAACACTGTGCGACCCAAAAAACAATAACGGGGATAATCAAGTCGATTATGAAAGTAGATGTAAAAAAAACCTGTGTATCGACGTTTTGAAAGTTTACATCGGGCAAGTTCCCCTCTCTTTCATACTTTTGGAAATTTTCGGATTAAGATTTCTGGGAATTCATAGTATATAGTGTCCGTCGCAATATTGTGGATAAAAATATGTGGAATAATTTGGCCGAAAGTTGAAACCCTCAGGCCGGTCAATAAAGGGGTATTTTTTGGTCCTTTTTAATATAGTTGATAACATCCTTTATACGGGATCGTAGCAAGTAAAATCATCGACGTTTCAAAAAAAAAAAAAAAAAAAAAACACCGAAAATTATCTCTAATTTATAACCTCAGTCATATGACTACCCTCAGTAATTTGATGCGGTCAAAACGAGCCTCATCGAAATAACCGTTGCAGGACATTTATGGTCGATCTAGCGATGTCCGTCCATCAGCCTGTCTGGCATGTGCACACGATAGTATTCACACGGGAGTATTCAATTCGGTCCAAACTTGGTATATCATAATATTATTATCAAACTTAGATCGAGTTCGGAGATGAGCAATATCGGTCCACTCCTTCTTCCTTCCTCCACCACAAAAGATCGATATTTTCAAAAAAAAAAAAAAAAATCCTGCGCAGAAAGTACAAGGCTAATCCGATTTTGCTCCATCTTTGCAAATCCTGATATATGTATCAGTCCTAAGTGAAAATGGACAATGTCGGTCCACTCCATCAAATAAACCACCCCACCACCTCCCCCCAAAACACTCAAAATTTTGAATAATTACAACTTTTATAAAATGTGATATAAGAGTCCCATTGTCTTCAAATCACAATATTTTATTAACCCAAGGTCTGGTGTGAAGATGGAATATATCTGTCCACTCCTTCTGGTACGTTTACCACAAAAATTCAACATTTTTAATATCCATGAAGTTCATAAAAGGCGAAATTAACATCCAGTTCCATTCAGACTTCGCAAGACCAACACAAGATTTGTTGTGGAGATGGTAGAGACATTAGAGCAGACATTTCTTCTGGTACCTCCCCCACATAGGGTTCAAGATTTTGGGAAACAAAACGCTCAAAGAAAGCGAAATAAGCATCTGAAGGTGATATATATCTGCGAACCCCTTTCTGGTAGGGTCACAATTTCCATACTTTTATCTGTCATAACTTGCGAAACAAGTCAGCGACTCTTAAGAACTTGCTATATCTAAATATTTATCTCAACCAGAAACCTGAGATAATTACTTAGGAGAATTTTTGCATAAACCCATATATGTGTATTTTAGTAATTATAAATTCCCGGCCATTAAGGATGATCTCGAGTTGTGATGTATTCTGGGACTTATAGCAGATCGATCTGTAGAACGGTTAAACATGTTTTTTAAGAACTCCAAAAATATTTTTTTTTAAATAACCCATGCAAATCTTTCAGTGTTGTTATATTAGTTCGCCTCTTCCTTTTAATGGGTATAACCTGGATAATGGACATTCTGTCGTTCTGTGTACGCAACTACCCACAATTCGATATGTTTTTTGTTTTGACAGATTTCTGTAATGCCATTCAAGGTGTTCTCATATTCATTTTATTTGTTATGAGACGTAAGGTGACGTCACTTCTTAAAGCCAAGTAAGTCGAATGTAAAAAGTACTAATTTCATATTCATATGCATATAAAACTAAAACAAATGTCCTCTTTGCAGATTCTTGGGAAAAACTGTCAAAGGAAATTGTGACGATTCGATACAATTTCATAGTACCCTGTCGATGAGTACCAAAGTGACGTAAAGGAGGTTAATGCGTAGAAAATCATGTTTTAAATTTGTAAATGTCTTGTTAAATTTGATGAATAAATAAATAATTTCGTTGCAAAATTCACACAAAACACAAGTTGTTATTTAAAATTTACTCAAAGTACATTTTCAGAATATAATACCAAAGGTAATATGAAAACAGGGTTTTAAGTGGGAATCTTGTTTTTTTTTTCTGGGACAGTGAAACCTTCGCAGTGTTACTATGGATAGTTGCCAATCATTTTGTTTTTTTTTTTTTTTTTTTTTTTTGAGAATCCTTTTTGTCGGAAGTATTCATTGAGTGGGATTATTATAGAATTAAGAGCGAAAATGATTGGTAAAATAGGTTCTACTGTTTACGTTTTTGTATCCAACAACTCCCTGTTGACCTCTTCTACCAAAGGATTTTAATTTTAAATTCTATATCCCAATAAAGAAGTGAAGAGCAAATTGAAAAGGAATCCAGTAGATCGTTTTTTTTTTCTCTGACATGAGGGTTATACAACATTAGATTGGATGTCCCAAGACCTAAAATGGTCACACAATACATTAGGGAAAAATCAAAAAAGAAAAAACATATTTAAAAAAAAAAAAAAAAAAAAGGCCTAAAGTCGGGCGGGGCGATTTTATGATACCCTACACCACTTTGCTAATTTAGTTGAGCTCCACTTAATAATTAAAAGTTTTTATGGGAGAATTCAATCATACACGCTATGATTGTAATTATAATTTAAAATTCAAAGGAATAAATATGCCGAAGCATTTGTATCTTTTAAATTCGGACTTGTATTGCCCATTTGGTGCGAAATTAATTTGAAATCGGATAAAAATATATATGGGAACTATATCCAAATCTGAACCGATCTCGATAAAATTTGGCAAAGATATTTTTGAGCTGTATTTGATATATTTCCCTGAATATCGTTGTTACGTAGTGCATATTACGGCTGTAGGTAACAAATACAACAAATCGGATGAACAATATATATGGGAGCTATAGCTATATCTGAACCGATCTTCACCAAATTTGGCATACTACCTTCTAGACTAAATTCGGTCGTATGTGCCAAATTCCATCCCATTTGGGCAAATATTAGACGTTTGGTGCACAATAAAAGGTAAATCGGACGAAGTTATATATGGGAGCTATATCCAAATCTGAACCGATCTCGATAAAATTTAGCAAAGGTATTTCTGAGCTGCATTTGATATATTTCCCCAAATATTGTTATTACAGAGTGCATATTATGGCTGCGGAGGACAAAAATAACAAATCGGATGAACAATATATATGGGAGCTATAGCTATATCTGAACCGATTTCGATAAAATTTGGCATACATATTTTCAGGCCTAATTTGGTTGTATGTGCAAAATTCCACACTATTCGGGCTGATATTACACGTTTGGTGCACAATAAAAGGCAAATCGGACGAAGATATATATGGGATCTATATCTAAATTTTTACCGATTATCTCCATTTGCAATAGGGTTCGTCCTTGGGGCAAAAAAATGTTGTTTGCAAAATTTCATCTCAATCGGATAATAAATGCGACCTGCATTTTGTTCACAAGAATACATGGACAGACGGACGGACGGACTGACATGCATAAATCAACTCAGAATGTGATTCTATGCAGATCATCAAAAGGAACTATGGGTCTATCTCGTTTCCTTTTGCCTGTTACAAACAAATGCACAAAGACATAATACCCTGACCACCTTGTGGTGTAGGGTATAAAAATAATACGCACCACCATTTGTAAGGAACTAGAAAAATGTTAAAAAATTCCGAAAAATACCGTTGAAATGAAAACCGTTATACAGGGGCTATACGAAGACGTGGACCTGTATAATTATTTTTTTTGTCATAGGCTGTAGTACCCATTAAGATCTTAAAATATGAAATTTGTCGCTAAAATCATCAAAATACCGAATATTGAGAGGTACCAATATATAGGTGCTATACGGAAACATAGACCGACATGGCCAATTTACGAGCAAAATATATCCCTCTATCTCAATTCTTTCGCAAGATAGCGTGATTGAAACAGACAAACGGACAGACAGAGGGGCATCGCTAAATCGTTTTAGAATTTTACGCTGATCCAGAATACAGGGTGAGATGAAAAAACTGCAAGCAACTTCAGGCTGCTGTCATTTCTAAGCCACTCGTCCGACAGCTGTTAAAATTATTCCAATGACAGCTCATTATATTGTTTACAAGCGTACAAAAGCATTTTGGTGACAATTTTCCAGAAAAAAAGTAATTCGAGATGGATTTCGAACGTGATAGTGTGATTTCTTTATAGTTGGCTGGAAAACCACAAGTGGCTATCAGCTATCAGTTATAGCGCTCGAGTATTTAAATGTGAATAAATCTTTTGTGTTTCGTACCATCGCAAGGAAGCGGATGGAAGAAAATAGCAACATTAGCAGAAATGGTTCGAAAAGTAAAGAAGAGACCCGAGACTCGAAACCCGCGTTGCAGTGGCCGAAAAATGGTTCGTGAGCTGAACGTATCGAAATATTCCATTCGGCAAATATTGAGAAAAGAAATTCCAAAAAATGCAAGAACTTACACCGCAACAGAACGAAAATAGACTCAAAGGAGCTAAAGAGTTGCTTCGCTTGGCCAAAAGTGGTGAACTGACGAATTTGGTTTTCTCCGATGAGAAAACATTCGTTGTCCAGCAGTTTGTAAACAAACCAAATGATCGTGTTTACTTGTCAAAGAGGTCAACTGAAAATAATTCGTGCCAAACGCGCTGTACATGTCAAATTTCAATGAAATTTGGAATGTGTGATGAAATTTAGTCTAACAAATTATTTTCCCAATTATATTGAAATCGGTTCAGATTTGGATATAGTTCCCATGTATATTTTCGGATGTTCATGTGTATTCCCAATTTCAATGATATTTTCGGTCGACTTTATGTATTCGATGCACGTTATATTTCCCCAACATCAATGAAATCCGTAAATAAATGCACCAATTATGGGTCGGAATTTGATATGAAAATAAATGATGTCTACTTATATTAAAAGGGGTTCAGACTCAGATATTATTTTATTAAGGAACCTAGGCCCCCAACGTCTTCGCTGTGGTACTAGTCTAACGGTAAAAAAATTGCACAACAATTTATTAGAGGCTACGATTATTACGGAAGAATCTTTCCCATAGCAAAAATAATGCGGTTTAACTTGAAAAGATTGCAGTCTACTGTCGTGTGATACCCCTTCCCGGCGAAGCGCTTGCTTGAGGTGATCGACAATTTGTTATTTTTTAGCTCCAACCTTGCTTTCCAAAATACTCCAGACACAATAGTTCAACGGGTTGGTATCTGGAGATTTTGGTGGCCACAGTTCGTTGGAAAAGAAGCGATGAACCTCATTTTGTAACTATTCTGAGTCCTTTTGGAATGTCCAACGTGGGTGGCCAAAACGTTTCCGTGCCCAAGGCTTTTACACCGTCCATAATTATTTTGCGATAATATTCGGCATTTATTCTGATGCCACGGTCGATTAATACGAGCGGAGAGCGACCATCGGCTGTTATGGCGACCCACATCATAACCATGGCCGGCGCTTGAGTTGTGGTGGCCAACTGAAGGTGCACATTTTCAGCTGACCTCTTTGGCAAGTAAACACGATCATTTTGTTTGTTTACAAACTGCTGGACAACGAATGTTTTCTCATCGGAGAAACCAAAACTTGGCAGTTCACCACTTTCGGAAGCAACTCTTTAGCTCTTTTGAGTCTATTTTCTTTCTGTTGCGGTGTGAGCTCTTGCTCGGGGTAAGGCCATTGAAATTTTTGGAATTTCTCATTTTCGATCAAGTCTCTTATTTACTTTTCGAACCATTTCTGCTGATGTTGCTGTTTTCTTCCGTCCACTTCCTTGACGTCGGGCTTCGCTACCACTATCACGGTAGCGAACGATGGTACGAGACACAAAAGATTTATTCACATTTAAATGCTGGAGTGCACTGAAGATAGCCACTTGTAGTTCTTCAGCCAAATGTAAAGAAATCACACTATCAAGCTTGAATTCCATCACGCATTACTGGAAAATTCTTACCAAAATGCTTTCGTACGCCTGTAAACAACATAATGAGCTGTCACTGGAATAATTTTAACAGCTATCGGACGTGTGGCTTAGAAATGACAGCAGTCCGAAGTTGGTATTTTAATATCACCCTGTAGTGTCCATTCCAAAACCACCTCCTAATCAAAAACCAACCACCAACAGGGACTCCAATGGCAAAATTTCAAAATTCCATTTTCATCCGTTCACCCTAAACAAAATTGTTCCCAATATAAATTAGTACAGTTCGCACACTTAGCACTTACTTCCATATATCAAACCAACTTTTTGTGCATTTGTTTGTAACATAGAGAATGAAGCGAGTTAGACCCATATTTTATTTTGATGATCTGCATAGAAAAACATTCGATCTATGCATGTCCGTCTATAAGTCTGCCCATGTCATTCTGACTAAAAAGTGTATTATCAGGTCAAATAGGATTCACTTGGATGAATATATGCTCAGGTGTAGGGTATCACAAATTCGACCCCGTCCTATTTTTGGCCTTTCTTTACTGGTTTTTATATTTATAATGGTTAATCGAGCTATATGTGGTTTTTGTTGTGTATTCTGTGCCTCTCCCATATTCTCTCCCTTCCTCTCTCTCCGACAACTACCAACTAGCAGTAACTCAACACATCCATATTTTAATTTGCTCCAGTTAAATGTAAATGTAATATTTATTCCTGGGGGTACCGCCGGCCAACATTTTGGAATATACGACAAGAGGGTTGGGATTCAATTTGCGATAATTAAGAAAATGGATTTCCCGCAATGACTTGAGATGACAAACTTCACCTCAAATCATTTCTCCAAACACAGGGCGCTACAACGAACGTACCATAAAATCATAATTAAATTGTAGTTAGCAATAATTTATTCTTGAATGACAAAGACATATAAAGTAATTACAAACACACACACACATTTATATATATGAATAGAAGGCGAATCATGACACTTAATAATAATTTTAAACAACAATGTATTATTTGTGGATGAGTGGAACCAGCAAACATATCAGGTAGTTTATTCATTACCCATGAGAAATTCGTTAGGCGCAAGTGCCACTTTGATTCATCCATACATCTGCATTACCAGCATTCCAAAAATAATTCATAATAAAATCAAAATTATATATATATAGCATTCCAAATAATGAATGCGGCGATTCAGAGTGAACACGCCCGACTGCCATCTATATTTCTAACTATTAACTATTCCAACAGGACTCAGCACAATGCAATGGTGCTGAGTCCTGTTGGAATGTCCAAGGTCTGCGGCCAAAATGTTTGCGTGCCCAAGGCTTTAATACACCCTCCAGAATATTTTCCCTATAATATTCGGCATTTATTTTGATGCCACGGTCGATTAATACGAGCGGAGAGCGACCATCGGCTGTTATGGCGGCCCACACTATCACCATGGCCGGCGCTTGAGTTCTGGTGCACATTTTCAGCTGACCTCTTTGGCAAGTTTAGCTCTTTTGATGTATTTTATTTCTGTTGCGATGTATGTTCTTGTACTTTATATACCCTCCACCTTGGAAAGGAGGGTATATTAACTTTGTCATTCCGTTTGTAACATCCTTAAATATTCGTCTTAGACCCCATAAAGTATATATATTCATAATCAGCATAAAATTCTAAGTCGATTTAACGATCTCCGTCTGTCTGTCTGTTGAAATCACGATACAGCCAACATTATTTGACGTAGAGCGCCAAAATTTAGCAGAGCTATTTACATTGTATCTAGGATGGTTGGTATTGAAAATGAGATATATCGGTCCACGTTCTGGTGTAGTCCCCATATAACGGTACCTCCCGATATTCGGTATTTTGATGATTTATGCCACATTTTTTCACGGATTTCTCTGGAAATTGGTATTTGTAGGCCATAACGGGTCCCTGAGCTTGTGGCAAAACATTGCATGTATAGGTCCATGATTTGGTATAGTCCCCATATAACGGTACCTCCTGATATTCGGTATTTTGATGATTTTTGACACATTTTTTTACGAATTTCTCTGAAAATTGGTAGTTGTAGATCATAATGGGTCCCAGTTCGTGTGGCGAATAATTGTAATTATAGGTCTACGTTGTGGTATAGCCGCCATATAAAGGTACCTCCCGATATTCGGTATTTTAGTTTTTTTGCCACATTTTTTCACGGATTTGTCTCAAAATTGGTATTTGTTGGTCATAATGGGTTCCAGCTCCGGTGGCGAAACATTGCATGTATGGGTCCATGATTTGGTATAGTCCCCATATAACGGTACCTCCCGATATTTGGTATTTTTATGATTTTTGCCACATTTTTTCAGGGATTTGTCTGAAAATTGGTATTTGTAGGTCATAATGGGTTCTAGCTCCTTTAGCGTAACATTGCATGTATAGGTCTACGATTTGGTATAGCCCCCATATAACGGTACCTCCCGATATTCGGCATTTTAATGGTTTTTACCACATTTCTTCGCGGATTTGTCTAGAAATTGGTACTTGTTGGTCTTAATGGGTTCTAGCTCTTTTGGCTTAACATTGCATGTATAGGTCCACGTTTTTGTATAGCCCCATATAGCCGTATTTCCCGATATTCGGTATTTTGATGAATTTGGCACTTTTTCATGAATTTGTCTAAAAATTGGTAAATGTGGGTCAAATGGGCTCTAATGTTTCCTTTATCCTAAGGAGGGGGGTATTAAAAGTTTGGCCCGGCCGAACTTAATGTTTTTTTACTTGTTAGTATTGCAATGGCTTTACCCCGAGCTCATTTTTCCATATTTACAGAATGGAATATTGCGATATGTTCAGGTCACGAACCATTTTTGGGTCACTGCAACGTGGGTTTCGATCAAGTCGCCTCTTTACTTTTCGCACCATTTCTGCTGATGTTGCTGTTTTCTTCCGTCCACTTCCTCGACGTCGGGCTACGCTACCAGTATCACGGTAACGAGCGATGGTTCGAGACACAAAAGATTTATTCACATTTAAATGCTGGAGTGCTCATACGATAGCCACTTGTAGTTTTCCAGCCTAATATAAAGAAATCACACTATCACGAATAATTTTTTGCTGGAGAATTTTCACCAAATTGCTTCTGTACCCTTGTAAACAATATAATGAGCTGACACTGGAATAATTTTAACAGCTGTCAGACGAGTGGCTTAGAAATGACATCAGTCTGTCATCAGTCAGTTTTTCCATCTCACCCTGTATATATAAAGAAGGCAGAAGTAGGGAGAGAGGGTGTTATGGTGGATGGTATTTTATGTTCGTTCATTTATTTGCTATTTTTATCCTTTTGGTTTTTTCTCTCTTTTAATAACTGCATGTCAATTGGTTTGCTGATCTTTCGATTATCTTTTACCTTTTTTTTACTTATATGTATTTACATATGTATTTATAAGAAACTGCTTTGCGGTTTTATTGGTCTTAAGAGAGTTCATTTGCTGTTCTAAGCTTTTTTATGTGCTCTTCCTCGACATGATGGGCATGCATGCGATGTCTTGACACTTTTCGTTTGCAATTGCAGTCTTCAGTTTGGACCATTTGCCAGCGGACGTGTTGTTTTGCAGTGCAGTGAAATGCAATGGCCAGTGATCATACGGTGTTGGTAGTAGTTTTCATTTCCATTATGGTCATCATATTTGGTATAGGTCTGTTTTTGGTGCCAATACTTGGCGCGCCGGAAATTGAACACAGCGAAAAGTGCCCTTTCCGTGATACCGTCGATCTTACGAATCACACGCGTCTTCAAAACGGTTCATATCTTTACGATGGCATTTTGATAGCGGCAGATCAATTGTCCTATTACAAATATCGATTGCAGTTCCTTAACACCACCCAGCCAGCTGAGCTGCATCTGAGAGGGTGTATTTGCGACAATTCTAAGAATAGATTCTGTACGAAATTGTGCTGTGAACGGGGTAAGTTTTTCAATCAGACGTCGCGTCGTTGCGAAACGTTGGCGAATACCAGCGGCGTGCCAGAGGAAATGGAAATTTTGCTGAAAAATAAGTCACACAAAACTTGGAATATTTTTAAACATTTTGTCATACAAATCGGTGCGCCATGCGAGAAACCTCAGGTTCTCTCAATGACAGATGATCCTTGGATATTGTTTGAGGTAAGAAGAGATGTATGCATGGGTGTAAGGAAAATAATTGATCGTTTGTTGACACTGATTCAGAGCTTTAGTATTTGTTATTATTATTAGTATTTGTATTTTTGTTCTGTTCAGTTTGTATACGGAGATAAAGAGCCGCGGTTTGATTACACAGGGGGATTTTGCTTTTGTTGTTTTTACAAATTACACACTGAAACAGAAAAAATAATTACACGAAATAACTTAATGGTTGATCTGAGGATCGAGTTTCGGATATGTCTGATTTTTCTTATATCTATAATATACCTTTTCTCTTGTCCCACTGAAATTCTTCATCTTTACGATGTCAATGAAGTTTGTTCGAAGTATGTATTTATACTCTATACCACAATGTGGTCAGCATATAATAGCATTTGTTTGTAACATGGGGGAGGAAGCGAGATAGTCCCAGATTTCATATAGATCAGATTTGGATATAGATCCAAATTTATTAATATAAGTCCAAATTTAATAAATTTTGGCACATATGACCGATTTCAGCTTGGAAACATGTATGTCGGATCGAAAATCGTTTCAGTTCAGTTCGGCCAGCTATCAGCTACAGCATAGCAATATGTCTGCAAAATTTTATAGAGATCGGTTCAGATTTGGATAAAGTTTGGATACATATTTCTTCATTCTATTTCACGTTTATCATTCACCAGAAGTATAATATCAGTTCAAATATGATAGGCTTTCTGAATTATAGATCTGAAATATACGTTTTAAATTTAACATGCTCAAAGTCGAGAGATACACCTGCCTCCGTCAAACTTATTGAAAATCGACTCTGACTTGGATATACCGCACATATATTAGCTATTTCCGGTTTCAAATTATAACTGATCTACGAGTAAGATCATAATAAGCGTTCAAAAAAAAGATCATCTAATTCATATAAATTCCCAATGTAAATGTTTATTAGTTACGAGTTGACCCCGACCCCGCCCAACTTCTGACCTTTCTTTACTGGTTAATTTTTAACAAAATGTTTATTCACAAACAACATTAGATAGTCATTCAAAAAAAAAAAAAAAAAACTTTTGAAAATTTCACGATTTTAGATAGTTTTTTCGGAGATAGTTTTTCAAACCACCTCAAATAGAAATAGTCCTTTAAAATGTATTTTAAAACAAGTAAGCAAAGGCTATAGTCGTGCGGGGCCGACCATGTGATACCCTACAATGTAGAAGCCCTACTACAATGTTAGAAGCCCCCTTATATCCAAATCTCTTTTGGAATATTTCGCTTTTGAAATTGTGTCACGGAGCACTGCCCAGATATTACCCTCAGCATTTTGAACAGAGACTCCGTCGTGCTCTTATTTGTTGTGGTTCATTTTAAAGCTAAATGTAATCCAATGGTCAACCAAAATGCTAGAATTATTCCCTGTCCATAACTCTCTTCTCAGGCGTGTCGATTGGCTTCAATTGTGTGATCAGGATTTTTTTTTTCTATTTTTGGTCCATTTTAACCCCTAAACATATTGCGGACATCTTTGGAAATAATAGGCTTAGCCCTTCTGAGCCTAACCCTACCCTTGTGAAAATATTCGTGAGGATCAGATGATAATTGCGGACTGTATATAATAACCAAAACCTGTGTTGTAAGGTGAAAAAATATTACAAAATATACACTTCAATATTAAGTCAAAATGAAAAAATCGCATGCGATAAAATTTATGAAAAAATTAAAAAAATTGCACATAATTCACTACAAAATAATTCACATAATTCACTACAAAATCTACAAAAACACCATTACTGGCATCTTTTTATGCAATTTTTTTTTTTTAGATTTTATTCTCTTATGCCAATAGGGAATTCTGTATTGACAAAATTTGTCAAAATCGGTCCAGCCATTCTTGAGATATAAGCGTTCTAGCTAACATCCCCTTCCTTTGTATATATGTATTTTATATATATCGCTATATATATCTGATATATTTACCATCGGCATCTACGTAACGGTCAGGATTGACCTGTTCGTCTATTTGTGATTTCGCCGGGATTAAAAATATTCGCTGTTTAATGGAAAATTTGAAGTTTATTTAACATAAATGTTATGGTCTATTTCACCCACTCAATATTACCTGATGACCACCAAAATTGCTTCTGCTTCTGCCCAGCCTGAAGCTCTAGCCGCATGATAGTTTCCGCTTCGATTGGTCCAAAAGTGCGTCCTGTAGAGCTACTGCAAAATCAGGAAATTTTTCAGTTGTTGGTCCATTTCAACCCCTAAATATAAAGAAATAGGGTTCTATTCTGGCTCTAGCCCGACCTCCATTCTAAATTTCGTGAAGATCGGGCCATAATTGCGACCTGTAGAGTGATTACAAATTAACATGGACAGACGGACGGACGGACATACATAGCTAGATCGACTCAGCTCGGCGAGATAGGAAGATCCATATATACTTTCCTATGGGGGAAACCAATATTTCGAGGTGTTACATAATTTTTGGCCCAATCAAACTTATAATACCCCCAACACATAGTGTTGTAGGGTATAAAAATAAACAAAAGAGATGGCAATGTAAAATTTTTAAAATCCCCGATCATATATGGTTGTCTATTGGTAGAAATTAGAACTGAAATTAAAAAAGGAACATACAGGGTGAGACGAAAAAACTGCAAAAAACCAAATTCGGACTGCTGTCATTTCCAAGCTACTCGTCCGACAGCTGGTAAAAAAATATTCCAGTGACAGCTCATTATATTGTTTACAATCGCACAAAAGCATTTTGGTGAGAATTTTTCAGAAAAAAAATGTTATTCGTGATGGAATTCAAGCGTGATAGTGTGATTTCTTTATATTCGGCTGGAAAACCACAAGTGGCTATCGTTAGAGCATTTAAAGCATTTGAATGTGAATAAATCGTTTGTGTCTCGTACCATCGCTCGTTACCGTGATACTGGTAGCGTAGCCCGTCGTCAAGGAAGTGGACGGAAGAAAACAGCAACACCAGCAGAAATGGTTCGAAAAATTAAGAAGCGACTTGATAGAAAACCGTGTCGCAGTGGGCAAAAAATTACTCGTGAGCTGAACATATCGCAAAATTCCATTCGGCAAATATTGAAAAATGTGCTCAGGGTAAAGCCATTTTAATGAAAGTGCCAGAACTTACACCGCCACAGAAAGAAAATAGACACAAAAGAGCTAAAGAGTTGCTTCGCTTGGCCGAAAGTGGTGAACTGCCGAATTTGTTGTACATCAGTTTGTAAACAAACACCATGGTGATGGTGTGGGCCACCATAACAGCCGATGGTCGCGGAGGGTGTATTAAAGTCTGGGGCACGCAAACATCCTGGCCGCAGACTTTGGACATTCCAACAGGACTCAGCATATCGAACACAGCACGCGCTACCCATGGCTACAAAATGAGGATCCTCGCTTCATTTCCAGCGCACAATGGCCACCAAAATCTGCGGATACCAATCCGTTGGACTATTGTGTCTGGAGTTGGCACTAAAAAATACCAAAGTGTCGATCAGCTCAAGCAAGCGCTTCGCCGGGAATGGGCTAAAATACCGCAGAGCGACATTCAAGCAGCGTGTGACTGTTGAAGGCCAAAGGTGACCAATTTGAACAAATCTAAACTTATTCTAAAATTTGATGTTATTTCCGACATTTTTGCTTTCATTCAATAAAATTTAAAAAACATATATAAAAATGACTTTGTTGCAGTTTTTTTCTCACCCTGTACAAATTTTTTTTAATTTTTTGTATATATAGTCCTTGAAAAATAGTCCTGAAAATGATCATTTTTAAAATCCGCGATCACAGATTGTTGCTGGAAAATAATTTTGAAAAAATCTACGATTGAGAATATGTTTAAAACTTGTTTTTTATTATATCCAAAACTAAGAAATCCATTCGTTATAAAAAGGGTGCCCCAACTAGAATGCAATTTGTAAAATTTCTATGAAATACCGATATTAAAAAAACAACAATAATATCCTCCACCATGTGCAACGAATTTGGAAAATTTCCAAAAATAAATCCGTAGAAAATTCTTTTAAAATCTTAAAAATACCGAATATAACCGTTATTTTGGGGTCTATACGAAGACGTGGATCTGCATAGACAGGTCAATATTCAAATACGAAACTTCCGATGAATAATATAGCTACAATTATCAAAATATCGAATATAGGGAGGTACCGAATAAATATCGGAGGTACGTTACGCTATACGAAGATGCAGTTAGTTCTGGCGTGTTGAACTCTGAATATCCTCCACCATGTGCAACGAATTTAGAAATTTTCAAAAAATAAATCCGTTAAAAATTATTTTAAAATCTGAAAAATATAACCGTTATATTGAGGTGTATACGAAGACGTGGATCTGCATAGGCAGGCCAATATTCAAATACGAAACTTCCGGTGAATAATATAGCTACAATTATCAAAATATGGAATATAGGGAGGTACCGAATAAATATCGGAGGTACGTTACGCTATACGAAGACCTGGACCTGCATAGACAATTTTCTGTCACAGGCTGTAGTACCTATTAGGAACTTCAAATACGAAATTTCTAACAATTTCGGAGAATATTGTACCTAAAATCGTCATAATACCGAATATAGGGAGGTGCCGTTACATCGGGGCATATACGAAGACCTGGATCTGCATAGAGAATTTTCTGTTACAGATTGTAGTTCCCATTACGAACTCTAAATATGAAAATTGAAACAATTCCGGTGAATAATGTCGCTATCGTCAAAATATCGAATACCGTTGTAGACCTATATATACATTTCTCTCCCTGGGGGAAAAGTACTTAGAAACAACTTCTAGTATGGATTTTTAGACAATTCCGTTGAATATAGGGAGGTACCATTGTATGGGGGATATGCAATATCTTGGACTTATATAGACAATACTCATAAGGAACTCCTTTTGTGGATTTTCAGACAATTTCATTGACAAATTTCGGTACAATCTTCAAAATACCGAATATCGGGAGGTACCGTTATATGGGGGCTATACGTTATCGTAGACCGATATTGCCCATCTTCGGACTTGACCTGTCTGCAGACAAAAGACTGATCTGTGCAATATTTTAGCTTCCTATCTTTATTCTTTTTGACTCTAGCGTGATTACAACATACGGATGGACGGACAGTGGCAAATCGTCAAAAAAGTTTACGCTGATACGTTAGACATAAAATTATAATTTCGATGAGTTACAAACAGAATCCATACTATGTATGGTGGAGGGTATAGAAAATCTTGAAACGTTATTGTATCGTAAAGAAGACAAAATGAGGTCAAGGCATATATGGAACAAGATATCGAGCAGAAAATTTCATAAAGTTTTCAATGGTCGTTTGGCATAAATGTGGAGATATTTCATTAATGTGCGTCCAAATTCCTCTTTAAAGGTTTGAGTCGTCATCAGGTTATTCACTTAAAACATCGACCCAAAAAACGCCAATGTCAAAAATCTAATGGTATTAAATAGCCAATTCTGGTCTCCAAAACTCGAAGTAACACGACACGACAAATGAGTGATGCAGCAATTGAATTATTTCTCTGGTTGTATGACATGTGGCGCCGTCTTGTTGAAACCCCATGCCCTGCACTTTCATTTCTCAATTCTATTCAAAAAAATTAATAAATAAATAAAAAATAAATAAAAAATGGTTATCATTTCATGGCACAGAACACAATTTACTATTTGCGCTTGACCTGCCTAATTGTCATAAAGAGGTCCAATCATTCCTCCAGCTCAAAAACCACAGGATACTCTTCCTTTTCACTCATCATTCAAAGAATTTCCTCACCCTCAATGCGACAATTTTGCCTACTGACGAAGTCATCAAGACGGAAATGGGCCTCGTCACTGAAGATGATTTTATCATATCGATGTTCCTGAGTCAGTTGAATTTTGTATTTCGTCATTCGTCAAAATTCGCTGCATAGTGGATTCGGAGACACCAATTTGCTGACCTCGGTGTCGAATTGAGGTGGATGGAGTTTGATCGACATCATCACGTACGGCTGTGATATTTTCGGTCTATCGAGTTGATCGAAGGCGCGTTGTTGTCTTTACATCACTAGCAGACCCAGTATTGGCAAATTTATCGATTAATCTTTTCGCAGTTTACTTTTTTGCAAACAATAACAATTGTTCAAATTTTTAAAATGGCATTCTAGATTGGACACCCTCTCTCGAAGAGGGCTCCCCATTCGAGCCGGAATTTAATCAACGTAATATATTTATCACACTGATTTCTTCTCGGAATTTCCTAACATAGAGTTAACATTTTTGTCTCAGTCTCTAGTCGGGCTGATTTAAAGATGGGCAAAAAAAGTTATTTTTGTTGTTTTTAACATCCTTTATAGAATGGCGAACTGTGGGTTGAAACCGATTACACCAAATTGGATACGGTACACTATTGCATCTCACCACAGTACAATGGAACGAGCAAAAAACTAGAACTAATGGCCATGAGTTGTCCGATGAAAAATGATCCAGACTCTTCAATGGTATTTAACACTTACAGTAAGTATAAACATAAGTATAAACATAAAGTGTCCGTTAGAATCCCCTCTCGATGGAAAAAAGAAAAGGGGAAAATCCAGCCGATTATGAAAGTAGATGAATAAAAAATTACACGTTTTGAAAGTTTGCATCAAATAATCTAAATTGACACTTCGGATTAAGACTCCTCGGAATCAGTACATTTTAGGTACATAGTCTCTTCGACAATATTGCAGATAAAAATACAAGGTATATTTTTGTTGAAAATGTTAACCCTCATATATTAAGTAGAGCAAATTCTTTTGTTCAGAGGCTCACAACGAAATTTGATGTAGAAAAAAGTAAATATTTCTTCTTTTGACACCTTTCAAATTAAGCGAAATGTTATGCAAAAGGGATAAAAAAGCAAGTTCAATGGAATCAGTCAGTATTACCGACAGCTGCATACCCTCATCCGATTTTCGGTTATTTAAATATATTTTAACTTGCGTAACGATTATTTAAACTGTTGATCCTTCCGGTTCCGGAGGTTCCGAAGGAGTGGGTAAATATTTTTCATTTCGTATCTGATTTGCATTTTATAGCGACTACTTCCTTCACTTTATACGAGATATTTGATAGTTTTCGAAAAGCTCGTGTTTTATGAGAGTTATAATTATTTAAAATGTTGACCCGTAGTGGGGGGGTGGGGTACCAGAAGGAGTAGTCCGATACTGTCTATCTTCACAACAGTTTGAAAGCTCATTTCACGTATTTATGAGGTTAATGGTTATTCCACATTTTAACCAGTTGTGGGGGAGGAACTATATGGAGTGGTCCGTTCAGTCCGCTCTTCATACCAGACCTTGTGAAAATATTGAAATGTGCGAAATTTGAAGAAAATCGTTCTATTCTTATAAAAATTATAATAATTAAAAATTTTGAAGCTTTGTGGAGGAGATACCCGAACGAATGGTCACATATCTAAAATCTACACCCCACATCTTGCTTAAGTAGAAGTATTGGGATGTGGAAATTTGAAAAGAATCGGATGCTCATTTCACGTTCTACAAGCTTCATGGTTATTAAACATTTTGAACCGTTGTGGGAGGTCTACCGATATATCTTATCTTCACACCAGATCTTGAGTTCGCAAAAACATTGGGTTGTGTGAAATTCAGACATATGGCTAGAGAGGGTATATATCATTTGATACGACCAAAACGTGCCTCATCAGGACATTTGGAGTCGATCTAGAGATGTCCGTCCGTCTGTCTGCTGACTGGTGCGCACGATAATTCTCAAATGCAGTATATGATTTGGCCCAAACTCGATATTACGTAATTATACCCTCAGCCATATAGCTACAGAGGGTATATATCATTTGATACGGTCAAAACGTGCCTAGTCGAAATAACGGTTTTAGACCCTAGGTTTCTTTGGACCAAATCCGTTTCAGAACATTTGGAGTTGATCTAGCGATGTCCGTCCGTCCGTCTGTCTGTCTGGCTGGCTGGTGCGCACGATAACTCTCGAAGGGAGAATCCGATTTGGTTCAAACTTGGTACAACGTAATATTTTTGTCAAACTTAGATCGAGTTCGGAGATGGGCAATATCGGTCCACTTCTTTTGGTACCTCCCCCACAAAAGGTCGAAATTTTCAAAAAATGTATTTTTTGCACAGAAAGAGAAACGATAATCCGATTTTGCTAAAACTTTGCAAATCTTAATATTTGCGTCAGTGCTAGGTCATGTGTGAAAATTGACAATATCGGTCCACTCCATCTGGTACCTCCCTCACAAATGGTCAAAATTTTGAATAATTACAACTCTCATAAAATGTGATATAAGAGTCCGATTGTCTTCAAATTTCATACATGCCAATATTTATGTTAACCCAAGGACTGATGTTAAGATGGAATATATCGGTCCACTCCTTCTGGTACCTCCCACACAAATTATCGAGATTTTCAAAAATATATATATATATATATATTTTCTGCACAGAAAGAGAATCGATAATCCGACTTTGTTCCAACTGTACAAATCCTGATATTTACGTCAGTTCTAGGTCAGGTGCAAAAATGGATAATATCGGTCCACTCCATCAAGTACCTCCCCCACAAAGGTCGAAATTTTGAATATCCATCAAGCTCTTAAAACACTAAGTTAACATCCGATTCCATTCAGACTTGGCACATTTCAATATTTTCATAATCGCAAGATCTTTTATAAATATCGTAGAGATCGGACCATTCGTTCTGGTACCTCCCACACAAAGGACCTAAGTTTTGAATAATCAAAACGAGCAAAGAATCCGAAATAAACATCCGATTCTCTTCATATTACACACGTCCCATTATTTCTACTAACTCAAGATCTGGTGCCAAGATGGAATACATCGGTCCACTCCTTCTGGTACCTTCCCCACAAAGGGTCAAAATTTTAAGCATCCATGAAGCTCGTAAAACGCAAAATTAACATCCGATTATATTCAGACTTGGAGCTTCTCAATATTTTCATCAACACAAGATATGTTATAAAGATGGTAGAGATCGGACCATTTTTTCTGGTACCTCCCCACATAGGGTTCAAGATTTTTAAAAACAAAACGCTCAAGGAATTCGAAAAAAGCATCCAAATGCATCCATCCCTCTCCCCAAATTTCCCACATACAGACATTATTTCTAACTTATAACTCTCATAACTTGCGAAACAAGTCGGCGATTCTTTACAACTTGATATATCTAAATATTTCTCTTAACCAGTATTCCGATATGAATATGTAATTTGTCGGAATGTACGAATTCGCAAAAATCTGTCACGTTCATATCTCAAGGGTGAGGCTATACATCTATCGGCACAACTGACTGATACTATTTTACTTGTTTTATCAAACTTAGATCGAGTTGGGAGATGGGGATTATCGGCCCACTCATTCTGCTACTTCCACCAAAAAAAAAAAAAAAAAAAAAAAAAAAAAAAAATATATATATATATATATATATATACATATATATATATATATATATATATATATATATATATATATATATATATATATATATATATATATATATATATATATATATAATATATAACAGATCTTGTATTGATATAAATATTAAGATTTGGTACATCTTAATATTTCTATCAATACAAGATCTGTTATAAGGATGGTAGAGATCGAACTATTTCTTCTGCTACATCTCCCATATAGGGTTCAAGATTTTGAAAAACAACTCCCTTTAAATTTTGCATATACAAACATTTTTGATAACCCAAGATCTGTTGTGAAGATGATATATCAGCGAAACCCTTCCGATACCTCATCCACAAAGGGTCACAATTTTCAATACCTTTATTTGCCAAAACATGCGAAAAAAGTCAGCGATTCTTTACAACTTTCTATATCTAAATATTTCTCCCAACCAGAAATTAGAGATGTATATATAACTTATGATTTCACATAAAATTGGATATAAATGTTAGATTTTCTTGTAATTTTGCCCATTTCAATATTTTTATCTGTCTTAGATGATTATGAAATTTGAATACTTCCGTGGGCTACATTTTCTAAAAATTAACATAATGTAAAGGAAAGGGGTTCGCATATACCTGGCACGTAGCAAAATTTATATCATATTTATTTAGAGCCGATACGAAATGGACAATATTGGTCCATTCCTTCGGAACCAAGTCAAAGTATATTTAAATAATCGAATATTACATATGATCGCAAAACCGACTGATACTTTTAAACTAGTTTTTAACTCAACTTTCATAATCTGCTGTATTTTCAATATTCCGTAATAATTGGAAAAAAAATTAATTGAGTCCCACAAATTGTATTTTCTTTCCAGGCATGCTGATATCTGTGGTATTTTTCATACCTACCATCCTAATTCATTTAGCTGTTAAGGAATTGCGCGACAGTTTGACAGGCAAACTACAGACATGCTATCTGATTGCATTGGTGGCAGGATACTCAATTATTGTCTTTATAAACATCTTGCCGGAGCGATGGCCGGAACCAACATGTCAAGCAATAGGTAGGTTCTGCACATACCAAAAATACACCCCTCCTCAACAACATATCTCTCAACTTTATAAAAATTGATTATTTTTAGGATTCTCGGGATATTACTTCTTCATGTCAGCCTACTTTTGGTTGGGCGTCCTTTGCTATGACATGTGGAAAACCTTTGGGGAGTATAGAAAACCTGTGGATAGTAGTCGTGAAATTATGAATCGTTTCATTATTTATTCTGCTTTTGTCTGGGGCACTGCTGGTGTATTGACGCTGATTGTCATCTGGGCCCAGTTAAACAAAGTTGTGCCGAAAATCTATAAGCCCGGCATTGGTTTGGAAATGTGTTGGTTGGATAGTGAGTGAATAAAGATTTAATTCCCTGCCTCAAACACCATTATTAATAAATATCTTGTTTTCTCCCATCATTTAGCTCGTAAATGGTCTGCAGCTTTATATTTTTATTTACCCAACTGTATCATTATGCTGTTTAATATTGCGGCTTTCGTTCAGGTGTCAACGGTGATCTATACAGTTAAGCGAAATGCTTTAAAATATAAAACAAACCAAGATAAAGCTGCAAAAAGGCAGTAAGTTGACAAAAGTTTAAACATCAACGATTATATACTAGCAAAACTTCATAAATCGTTCTAAATTTTCCGACTCTCAAGGTTTTATATATAAGGGGCGCAATAGAAGACTATCGACGTTTTTTGTTGGCTGTTGTTTAAAAAAAAAATGATGGATTATTTTTATACCCTCGGCCATTCTTTGGAGGGTAAAATTCTAAGACGATCTAACGATGTCCGTCTGTCTGTTCCTATGTCTGTTGTAATCACGCTATCTTTCGAAAGAATTGAGATAGAAGGCTAAACTTTTGCATACATGCATAGTTGACCAGTAGGCAGGTTATGTTCGTAAATGAGCCATGACGGTCCACGTTTTCGTATAGCCCCCTCCCGATGTTCGGTATTTTCATGATTTTAGCGGCATTATTTATCGGCCCATGACAAAAACTTTTGTATGCAGATCCACGGCTTCGTATAGCCCCCTGTAACGATACATTCCGATATTCGGTATTTTGAGGATTTCAGCAACATTATTTCTCCTCCAGCAAAACCGGACACCATACAGGGACTTTGAGCGGGTGTGATGGCTCTTCGTTGTGTGCCGTTGCATCGTCGTTGATCATTGCTTTGTAGCACTCACCATTCGCAGTAACAGTTTGGCGCGCGACGTCTTCAAAGAAAAAAAGACCTACGATACAATGACTTTGAGCGGGTGTAAGGGCCCTTCGTGGGTTACACGCGGATTTTCAGTGCCTCAGTAACGTAAATTTTGCTTATTTACGTACCGGCTAAGATGGAAATGGGCCTCATCACTCATGATTATTATACCCTACACCACAAGGTGGTCAGGGTATTATGTCTTTGTGCATTTGTTTGTAACAGGCAGAAGGAAATGAGATAGACCCATAGTTCCTTTCGATGATCTGCATAGAATCACATTCTGAGTCGATTTATGCATGTCCGTCCGTCCCTCCTTCCGTCCGTCCCTCCTTCCGTCCGTCCGTCTGTCCATGGTCCGTCAGTACAGGTCGCATTTATTGCCCAATCCAGATGAAATTTTGCAAAGATCTTTTGTTTGGCCCAAGGACGAACCCTATTGAAATCGGAGATAATCGGTCAAAATTTAGATATAGCTCCCATATATATCTTCGTCTGATTTGCCTTTTATTGTGCACCAAAGGTGTAATATCAGCCCGAATTGTATGGAATTTTGCATATACACCCAAATTAGGCCTGAAAATATGTATGCCAAATTTTATCGAAATCGGTTCAGATATAGCTATAGCTCCCATATATATTGTTCATCCGATTTGTTATTTTTGTCCACCGCCGCCGTAATATGCACTATGCAACAACAATATTTGGGGAAACATATCAAATACAGCTCAGAAATACATTTGCTAAATTTTATCGAGATCGGTTCAGATTTGGATATAGCTCCCATATATAACTTCGTCCGATTTACTTTTTATTGTGCACCAAACGTCTAATATTTGTCCAAATGAGATGGAATTTGGCACTTACGACCGAATTGAGTCTAGAAGCTAGTATGTCAAATTTGGTGAAGATCGGTTCAGATATAGCTATAGCTTCCATATATACTATTCATCCGATTTGTTATATTTGTTACCCACAGCCGTAATATGCACTCCGTAACAACGATATTCAGGAAAATATATCAAATACAGCTCAGAAATATCTTTGCCAAATTTTATCGAGATCGGTTGAGGTTTGGATAAAGCTCCCATATATATCTTTATCCGATTTCAAATTAATTGTGCACTAAATGGGCAATACAATTCCGAATTTAAAAGATACAAATGCTTCGGCATATTTAGTCCTTTGAACTTTAAATTATATATAATCATAGCGTGTATGATTGAATTCTCCCATAAAAACTTTTAATTGTTATGTGGAGCTCTACTTAATTAGCAAAATGGTGTAGGGTATCATAAAGTCGGCACCGCCCGACTTTAAGACTTTCTTATACAGGTTTTTCATGAAAAATGATCTACTTCTTGGCTCATGATTATTTTTCATGAAAAATGGTCTACTTAAGGATGACTTGAGCGTATATTAGACGCGATTGGCGGGCAGCAGCTAACAGCTGATGCCCCATCCGGACTTTGTACGGAAATATCTTCTAATCTTGTAACAAAATTCGCTGTAAATACCATCGACTGCGCTTCCGTGACATCCTCGGCTACAGCAGCAATATTCTCTGCATAACGGATACTCCGGGGTCTTATCTTATCTCCGGGGAATCTTTTGCTATGCCTGTCTCTTCGAGGCTAGCGGCTTAACGTCGCAGGGTTTCACCAGTAGGCGTTGGACGGCCAGGAATTCTGCAACGAAATTCACGTTGAGCCAAAGTCACCCACCGATTATTGGTCAAATTAATAGTCACCATTAATCCGCGATCTGAGCATTGTTTATTAACGAGTATTTCGCATGTGTTTACTACAAAAATTACAAAACAGAACTGACATTAGGGGCCGATCGTAAAATTTATAGAATTTTCTTGTAGAAGGATTACTTTTACTCCTCCTTATATTATCGAACTTTTTTTCTTTTTCGCAACAAAGATCTTCAAAATCTCTCTTTTTTCTGTCCAAAACGCCCCATATCCAAACCCTAGAAACCCACACTGTTGGGGTACCAAATTTTGGGATTCCAGTTCTATCCCTTCACCCAATACCAAATTTAGTACTATTCGTAAAATTATAGTACACATTTCGAAAACTATCCATATCTAAATTAAAGATACCAAGTGAGACCTCACTAACATATTTGAGGATTACAGCCCTATCTCTTGACCCAATACCTTAAGTAGGTTTCGTACAAATCTATGACGCACTTCCAAACCACCATCAAATCTCAAACACAGATACCATCAGAAATCTAAATATCAAATTTCAGAATTTCACCTATATTCATTCACCTAAGATATAATACCACTTAGTACTTTTTGTACAATTATAGCAGACATTTCCGAAACTTTTCGTACAATTATCGTAGAGATTTCCGAAACTACCTTCATATGTCCAGGCTACATATGAACAGGGTCGCTGTTACTTAATTTCATATTTCATGCACTATGTGTGCACCCAATACCGAAATGTACCAAAAATAGTTCTATTTACTGTACTTTTCGGTCACTTGTTGTACACATTACCAAAATCACATTTTAACTCAAACCTACTACCGATCAGGATCCCAATACAACATTTCAAAATTCCTGCTTCATCCGTTCACCCTAAACCAAACTGTTCCAAATTTAGCACAATCTGGAGCAGTTCGCACACCTAGTACACAAAAAAAAACAGTAAAGAAAGTCCTAAGGTCGGGCGGGGCCGATTTTTGATACCCTACACCACTTTGCTAATTTAGTTAAGCTCCACTTAATAATTAAAAGTTTTTATGGGAGAATTCAATCATACACGCTATGATTATAATTATAATTTAAAATTCAAAGGACTAAATATGCCGAAGCATTTGTATCTTTTAAATTCGGACTTGTATTGCCCATTTGGTGCGAAATTAATTTGAAATCGGATAAAAATATATATGTGAACTATATCCAAATCTGAACCGATCTCGATAAAATTTGGCAAAGATATTTCTGAGCTGTATTTGATATATTTCCCTGAATATCGTTGTTACGGAGTGCATATTACGGCTGTGGGTAATATGCACTCCGTAACAACGAACAAATTTGGCATACTATCTTCTAGACTCAATTTGGTCGTATGTGCCAAATTCCATCCCATTTGGGAAAATATTAGATGTTTGGTGCACAATAAAAGGTAAATCGGACGAAGTTATATATGGGAGCTATATCCAAATCTGAACCGATCTCGATAAAATTTAGCAAAGGTATTTCTGAGCTGTATTTGATATATTTCCCTGAATATTTGTTCTTACGGAGTGCATATTACGGCTATAGGTAACAAATACAACAAATCGGATGAACAATATATATGGGAGCTATAGCTATATCTGAACCGATCTTTACCAAATTGGCATACTAGCTTCTAGACTAAATTCGGTCGTATGTGCCAAATTCCATCCGATTTGGGCAAATATTAGACGTTTGGTGCACAATAAAAGGTAAATCGGACTAAGTTATATATGGGAGCTATATCCAAATCTGAACCGATCTCGATAAAATTTAGCAAAGGTATTTCTGAGCTGCATTTGATATATTTCCCCAAATATTGCTGTTACAGAGTGCATATTACGGCTGCGGAGGACAAAAATAAAAAATCGGATGAACAATATATATGGGAGCTATAGCTATATCAAATTTGGCATACTTATTTTCAGGCCTAATTTGGTTGTATGTGCAAAATTTCATACTATTCGGGCTGATATTACACGTTTGGTGCACAATAAAAGGCAAATCGGACGAAGATATATATGGGAGCTATATCTAATTTTTTACCGATTATCTCCAATTTCAATAGGGTTCGTCCTTGGGCCAAACAAATGTTGTTTGCAAAGTTTCATCTCAATCGGATAATAAATGCGACCTGTATTTTGTTCACAAGAATACATGGACAGACGGACTGACATGCATAAATCAACTCAGAAAGTGATTCTATGCAGATCATCAAAAGGGACTATGGGTCTATCTCGTTTCCTTTTGCCTGTTACAAACAAATGCACAAAGACATAATACCCTGACCACCTTGTGGTGTAGGGTATAAACATCTACATATGTCAAACTTACTTTCCAACCTTAATTCTCATAACAAATTTCATGTTTATAGCTCTATCCATTCACATAGAACCATATGGTACCATTATTTTCAGAAGTTTAGTACCATTTTAGAACTTTTCGTAACTTTTTCGTTTTATTACTTTGTTTTTTTTTTTTTTTTTGCCTCTTACAGAGTAATTATCATTCTACGTCTTTTTCTTATCATGGGCATATCCTGGATAATGGATATCATATCGTATTGCTTCCGCAATTATAAGTCGTTGGACTTTCTCTTTAATGTAACCGATTTTTGTAATGCCTCGCAGGGTGTTTTAATATTTTTTCTATTCATATTTCGTCGCGATGTCTTGAAGGCGATTAAACAACAGTAAGTAGTTTTTTGCTGTATTTAAATGTCATTAAAATAAACACGTGTCTTTTTTTAATTTTCTAGATTCGGAACTCGTAAAAAAACTACTGTGAATAAAAGTAACGAAATGGTTCTGACCATACAAAGCCAACTGTCGAAGACCAGTACCATTCCACGTACACCATCTACCCCGCATGATTCTGCACCACTACCATAGAAGACAAACCGAAACAAATGCAGCAGCAAATTTAACAAAATATATGTTTTAAAAAAAATTAAATATATGTGTGCATAGTAAATAAAATGCTTTTGAACATTGGCGAACTTAGGATATTTTTCTCTCAATACAATAGCCGTGGGACTATCCTGAAACCAAATGTTCTAGCCGATTTCAAGCTAATCGTATGCAAAATGCTTAATATAAGCTTGAATTGAGTGGATTTTGGCACCAATGATTTTTATACCCTACACCACAAGGTGGTCAGGGTATTATGTCTTTGTGAATATGTTTCTAACAGGCAAAAGGAAACGAGATAGACCCATAGTTCCTTTTGATGATCTGCATAGAATCACTTTCTGAGTTGATTTATGCATGTCAGTCCGTCTGTCCGTCCGTCCGTCTGTCCATGTATTCTTGTGAACAAAATGCAGGTCGCATTTTTTATCCGATTGAGATGAAATTTTGCAAACAACATTTGTTTGGCCCAAGGACGAACCCTATTGAAATTGGAGATAATCGGTAAAAATTTAGATATAGCTCCCATATATATCTTCGTCCGATTTGCCTTTTATTGTGCACCAAACGTGTAATATCAGCCCGAATAGTATGGAATTTTGCACATACAACCAAATTAGGCCTGAAAATAAGTATGCCAAATTTTTATCGAAATCGGTTCAGATATAGCTATAGCTCCCGTATATATTGTTCATCCGATTTGTTATTTTTGTCCTCCGCAGCCGTAATATGCACTCTGTAACAACAATATTTGGGGAAATATATCAAATGCAGCTCAGAAATACCTTTGCTAAATTTTATCGAGATCGGTTCAGATTTGGATATAGCGCCCATATATAGCTTCGTCCGATTTACCATTTATTGTGCACCAAACGTCTAATATTTGTCCAAATGGGATGGAATTTGGCACATACGACTTTAGTCTAGAAGGTAGTATGCCAAATTTGGTGAAGATCGGTTCAGATATAGTTATAGCTCCCATATATATTGTTCATCAGCTATCGGAGACTTGGAGATTTTGATATAGCTCCTATGTGCAGGGTGGGGCAAAAGTAAACTTCCGATGTTTTTTGGCTGTAATTAAAAAAATAAATTAAAATCGTTGATTCTTCTTGTGGATTATTTTTATTCGCTCTTTTAGTTTTTATACCCTCCACTATTCTATGGAGGGTATATTAGCTTTGTCAGTAGCTCTGTCTGTAACTCCTCGAAATATTTATAATATACCCTACAAATTATATATATTCTGGATCTACGTAAAATTATAATACGATCCAGCAATGTCCGTCTGTTTGTTGGTATCACCCTATATTTCGAATAAATTTAGATAGAAGGCAAACATTTTGGAAACATGCATAGTTGACCAGTAGGCAGTTCGGGCAAATGGGCCATGTCGGACCACGTTTTTGTATAGCCCCCATATAATGGTATCTCCAGATATTCGATATTTTCATGATTACAGCGACATTATTTATGACAAAATTTTTTGAATGTACGTCTACGTCTTCGTATATCCCCCATATAACGGTACATCCCGATATTCTGTATTTTCATGATTTTAGCAACAGTATTTTCCGAAATTATTTAAAATTAAATATGTAAAGTTCGTAATGGGTTCTACAGCCTATGACAAAAATTTTTGAATGCAGGTCCGCGTCTTCGTATAGCCCCATTATGGCGGTACCTCCCGATACTCGAATCGAACATTTAAATCAAATTTTGAGCGAGATCATAAATTCCATTATCATCGTATGTTTCTGGTTAACATAAATATTTAGATAAAGCAAGTTGTAAAGAATCGCTGACTTCTTTGGCAGACAAAAGTATTGCAAATTGTGACACTTTGTGGGTGAGGTACCAGAAGGCCGTCACTGTGTATATGAAATAAATTGGTACAGGTCATATTTATCAAACGAATTGGAATTAGCTCGGTTTCCTAGAGTGCATAACAACTTTGCGCAGTAAATTTGATTGAAATTTTAAAAAAATATAGGAGAGGGGAAGATTACACTTCCTATATTCACAACGGTTGCTTGTAAGACAAGAGATTCAATCCGCTTTTACCTATGCATACCTCTCCACAAGTCATAACTACGTTTACAGAAGCACTCAAACATTCATCGTGCATTGTAACACAAAGAAACAGACAAGCGCTGCTAAATTATCGTATCCATGACCACAATTCACCTGAGAGTTTTTAACAATTTCTCTCTGTTATCCTTGAGATAAATAGGTGTGATTCGAATTTGATCGATATATTCGAAACGCGGGCACCTCGAAAGACTATTCTACAGTACACAGGATGATTACAAAAGAATTATAAAATCGTTTCTCAGTAATGTGTGCTTGGCAGTATATTATTCTAGAAAGACATTTGCTTAAGTCTTTTACGTTATCCAAATGTCCATACATGTTCACTAATACATATGTTAATTGATTTATGATAACAATTAATATTTTTTTTTGTACAGTCGAATCATTTGTTTTTATAACCAGCAAACAAACATAAATATTTAAAAACTAACACAAAAAGTTAGAAAATATCAGTCGGTTTTTCCGATGTTTTTTATACCCTCCACCATACTATGGAGGGTATATTAATTTTGTCATTCCATTTGTAACGCCTCGAAATACTCATGTCAGACCCAACACAGTATATATATTCTTGATCAGCGTAAAATTCTACGACGATTTAGCCATGTCCGTCTGTCTCTCTGTCTGTTGTAATCACGCTATCTTTCGAACAAATTGAGATAGAAGGTTAATCTTTTGCAGACATGTATATTTTGCCAGTAGGCAGGTTAAGTTCGTAAATGGGCCATGTAGGTCCAAGTTATCATATAGCCCCCATATAACGGTACCTCCCTATATTCGGTATTTTGCTGATTTTAGCGACATTATTTACCAGAATTGTTTCAAATTTGGCATTTGAAGTTCGTAATGGTTACTACAGCCTAAGACAGAAAATTATCTGTGCAGGTCCACGTCTTCGTATAGCCCCCATATAACGGTACCTCCTGATATTCGGTATTTTGATGATTTTAGCGACATTATTTAGCGGAATTGTTCCAAATTTGGTATTTGTAGTTCGTAATAGATACTGCAGCATAAAACAGAAAATGGGCCATGTAGGTCCACGTCTTCATATAGCCCCCATATACCGTACCCCCTGATATTCGGAATTTTGATGATTTTAGCTACATTATAAACAGATTTTTCTTCAAGTTTCGCATTTAAATATTGTAATAACTTATGACAAAAGTTGCCTATGCAGGTCTACGTCGTCGTATAAGCATTCGGTATTTTTAAGATTTTAACAGAATTTTTAACGGATTTTATTTTTTTTTTGGAAATTGCCAAATTTGTACCAAATGGTGGAGGGTGTTAAAAGTTCGGCCCGGCCGAACTTACAGCTTTTTTACTTGTTATATAAATATTTTGACTTTCGTTATGATTATTTAAACTCTAGACTAGATATTTCAACTATATCGACTACTTCCATTGCTTTACAATTTTTGGGAAATATTGAAATGTGTTTAAGGTACCAGATATAGCGGACCGTGATACAAATTATTGGGATGTGTAAAATTAAAAGAAAATTAATATGTATTTGCAATGCGAATAATCAAAATGTTGAACTTTTGTGGGGGAGTTCCTAGAAGGGGTTTATCGATCTTTGCTTGAGAAAAATATTAAGATATACCAAGTTTGAAAAGCTCGCTGATTTGTGTCACAAATTACTGTAGATATAAGTATAGGAAACTGTGACCCTTAGAAGGGGATATAGATTGATATTGTCTTTACACCAGCTCTTGTGTTAGTAAAGATGTTGCAATGTGTAAAATTAAAAGACAATTCACATTTTATAAGAGTTATAATTATACCCTCATCAGTCATATTGCTAGGGAAGGTATATCTCATTTGACACGGCCAAAATGTGCCTCATCGAATTAACGGTTTTATACCCTAGGTCTCCTTAGACCAAATCCGTTTCAGGATATTTGGAGTTCATCTAGCGAAGTCCGTCCGTCTATCTCCCTGGCGGGTGCGCACGATAACTCTCGAAGGGAGTGTCCGATTTGGTCGAAATTTGGTACTTCGTAATATTATTGTCACTTAGGACATGTTCAAACAACATTTGTTTGGCCCAAGGACGAACCCTATTGAAATTGGAGATAATCGCTAAAAATTTAGATATAGCTCCCATATATATCTTCGTCCGATTTGCCTTTTATTGCGCACCAAACGTGTAATATCGGCTTGAATTGTATGGAATTTTGCATATACACCCAAATTAGGTCTGAAAATAAGTATGCCAATTTTTATCGAAATCGGTTCAGATATAGCTATAGCTCCCATATATATTGTTCATCCGATTTGTTATTTTTGTCCTCCGCAGCCGTAATATGCACTCTGTAACAACAATATTTGGGGAAATATATCAAATGCAGCTCAGAAATACCTTTGCTAAATTTTATCGAGATCGGTTCCGATTTGGATATAGCTCCCATATATTACTTCGTCCGATGTACCATTTATTGTGCACCAAACGTCTAATATTTGTCCAAATGGGATGGAATTTTGCACATACGACCGAATTTAGTCTAGAAGGTAGTATGCCAAATTTGGTGAAGATCGGTTCAGATATAGTTATAGCTCCCATATATATTGTTCATCCGATTTGTTGTATTTGTTACCTACAGCCGTAATATGCACTCCGTAACAACGATATTCAGGGAAATATATGAAATACAGCTCAGAAATATCTTTGCCAAATTTTATCGAGATCGGTTCAGATTTGGATATAGTTCCCATATATATTTGTATCCGATTTCAAATTAATTTCGCACCAAATGGGCAATACAAGTCCGAATTTAAATGATACAAATGCTTTGGCATATTTAGTCCTTTGAATTTTAAATTATAATTATAATCATAGCGTGTATGATTGAATTCTCCCATAAAAACTTTTAATTATTAAGTGGAGCTCAACTAAATTGGCAAAGTGGTGTAGAGTATCATAAAATCGGCCCCGCCCGACTTTAGGACTTTCTTTACTGGTTTTTATGAAAACAACGTTTGTTTATAAGTGGAGAACGATGGTAATATTTACCAGGGGGAATACCTAGGCATGGACTACCAAGGTTTCGGAAAGAGCCACCTATCCTCATCAGTTTATGTAAAACGAAATTTCATATAAAAGTGGAGAAAGATGAAAATGCTTATAAATTCCAAAAGAATTTTAGTTTTATGTAATTCTTTGGTTCCTCTTCAATTGAGCTTACGATCTCGTCACTTGGGTAAAAAAAGTTATTTTTAAAATAACTCCTGGGGAGAATATCCCAGACAAAAAAACAAGGGAACCGATGAGGATTGGTGGCTCTTTCCGAAACCTAGGTATTTCCTGCCATGCCCCCATAGTAAACATTACCATCGTTCTCCACTAATAAACAAACGTTGTTTTTATAAAAAAAACCACAGTAAAGAGATTAATCCTGACCATTTTGCAACAACAAAATACTGTAGTATCCCGAACAAACAACCCAAAACACTGTTCTATAGTCATTTTTGCTAACACAAATGTTGGATATAAATGTTCGATTTTCTTGTAATTTTGCCCATACCAATATTTTTATCTCTATTAGATAAAGTATGAATATGGAATATGTGAAATTTGGATATTTGAAATTTGAAGAAAATCGGATGATTATTTCGCATTTTATTAGGGGTTTGGTCATTCAAAATGTTGTCCCTTTTTGGGGTGGGGTGGGGTTAGTGGTATTAGAAGAAGTTGGCAGATAAATACCTTCTGTCGAATTTGAAAGGCATTGGATACATATTTCGCGTTTTATATATACTCCAAATTTTGACTTGCTGTGGGGGAGGTACTTGATGGAGTGTTTAGAATTTGAAAAGCATTGGATGCATATTTCGCGGTTAATAAATGCTCCAAATTTTGACCTATTGTGGGGAAGGTACTGACAATTCGTTTGTAAAGAGCATTAACTCCTCAAACTGATGTATTTTCGGTGGTAGCGGACTTAATTGTTCTATGGGTATTAAAAATCACTTAAGAAGTGAAAATATCATTTTTTGTTAAACAACTTATAACAGATGTATACCAACAATATTTGTCCATTTTTGATGAACCTTTATAGTTGATGTACCGTGGAATTGGGCTTATGTTGTGAACCTCGCTTCAGTCTGATATAAATATTACGAAGTGTCAGGTTTGGATTAAATCGACTTTTTCCCCCATTTTATATGAGATATTAGTGCATTTGTTTTAGAAAACTTGGAACTCTTTTCAGCAGTAACCAGAAACAGTTTCAAAGTGGGCCGACATAGCCCATTAAGATACAACATTTTCGAAAAGAATCGCGGACTTTTTCTCGCATATTATAATTATTCAAAATACTGACCCCTTTTGGTAAAGGTATCACAAGAAGTGGACCGATATATCCTATTTCCATCTAGATTTGATGTTGATAGTAATATTAGAATATTAATTCATAGAAATTCAAAATTTTGACCTTTGTGAGGAAGTACCAGAATTGACGATACTTTTTCATGGTATATATTAGGTATACACATTTCTTATGTTTAGAGACTCACAATGAAATCTGATCTAGAATATTTATTCCTTTAAAACTTTCCTCAGAAAATTAATTATTTAGGGAGATTTTGACCATGTTTAAAATAAGAGTTTTGGCCAATATAGTCTCCGTTTAGCTGTACTTTTATAATTTCAACAAACACAAATATAAATTTCAAACTTAAGGTTTTCAACCTATCACATCTTTTGCTGGGTTATGGCAAACATTCATTAATTTTTTATTTTATTTTTTTTAGCTTAGAAAGCTCGTTCAGGAAACTTTTTGCGGTTTTATTGGTCTTAAGAGAATTCGTTTACACTGTCCACTCGTCTTTGTGCACACTCACTCTCTTGGCATAAACACGATGTTGACTAAGATTTCTATGGTAGTCTAAGGTAAATACCCTTAGCAAACGGACGACGGATTGTGACGCCTAGTGATAATTCGCAATGGAAAGCAGCAAAGTTCTATCGGCAGCAATTTTCATGTTCACCATGCTGCTTATAACATGCATAGGTGTTTTTGTGGTACCGGCTTTAATAGATCTGGAATATGAACCCGCGGAAAAATGTCCTTTTCGTGATACCGTTGATCTTTCGAATCACACAGCGCATCGAAATGGTTCATATCTCTATGATGGCATCTGGATAAATGCAAATCAAACGTCGTCGTATAAGCACCGTTTAAAGTTTCTCGATAAACCACAACCCAGCGAATTGCATATTCGTGGTTGTATCTGTGATCGGACCAAACATACCTATTGCGTGAGATTATGTTGCGAACGAGGTAAATATTTCAAGCCCACTTCCCGACGTTGTGAAAAGCTGAGGGATGTTCACCACATGCCAAACGAAATGGAGATTCTGATGAGAAATAAAACACGTACGAAATGGAATATTTTTAAACATTTCGTTATACAACACGGAACGCCATGTGAAAAACCGGAAATCATTTCCCTGACGGAAGATCCTTGGATATTGCGAGAGGTGGGTGGGAGATAAAAAATGTTTCTTTTCTTTTAAATGCGAAGGGAAATTATGTGAATTTATATTTGTAAATCCCCTATCATACATTGAAAGATAACTCTTCTACGAAAATTGTTGGATGCAGAATTCTTGGAATCCTTACATTTTGTGTATATAGTTTCTTCGACAACATTAAAAAAAAAAAAACAAAACAGGGATTATTTCGGCCAAAAACTTTATCCCCCATGCGAGTCACCCGATGGGTCCTTTTTCGAAAATTCGGAAAGTCAAAATACCATACAGGCTGAGATAAAAACAGCAACAAAGTCAAACGCCATAATTTTTACATTTTTTTTCTTAAATTTTATTGAATGAAAGCAAAAAGTTTCCGAAATAGCATCAAATTTTAGAATAAGTTTAGATTTGTTCGAATTGGTCACCTTTGCCACGAATTATGGAATTAAGAATTAACGGCCAATGAAACCGTCACACGCTGCCCGAATCATGCTCTGCGGTATTTTGGCCCATTCCCAGCGAATCGCTTGCTTGAGGTGATCGACACTTTGGTATTTTTAGTGCCAACCTTGCTTTCCAAAATACTCCAGACACAATAGTGCAACGGATTGGCATCCGGAGATTTGCTGGCCATTGTGCGCTGGAAATGAAGCGAGGAACCTCAATTTGTAACAATTCTTGGGTGGCGCGTGCTCAGTGCGATTGGAACTCGCTCTTTTAAGTCTACTTTCTTTCTGCTGCGGTGTAAGTTCTCGCACTTTTTGGATGTTTTTTTTTTTCAATGGTTTTACACCGAGATCATTTTTGAATGTTTGGCAAATAGAATATTGCGATATGTTCGACTCACGAGCTATTTTTCGGCTACTGCGACGTGGGTTTCTATCAAGTCGCTTCTTTACTTTTCCATTACGAATAACTTTTTTCTGGAAAATTCTCACCAAAATGCTCTTGTTCGCTTGTAAACTATATAATGCGCTGTCACGGGAGTAATCTTAACAGCTGTCGGACGAGTGACTTAGAAATGACAGCAGTCTGAAATTTGTTGCAATTTTTTCATCTCACCCTGTGTATAAGCAATTTTCTGTCAGTGGAGATAGTATCCATTTTGAACTCCAAATACCACATTTGATATAATTCTGGTAATAAAAGTGACACAAATCAACAATATATCGAATGTCGGGAAGTACAGTTATATGGGGACTATACTTAAACTTGGATCTATGGAAACATATATCCTGCTCAAAGGATTTTCTCAAAAATGACTATAAACCTCGGGATCGGCCGGTTGTATAAACAACCACTCCACTCGGGGACCTATTGGTCCGTTTTGTTCATCCTAATAAAAGAGGATATTAGTGAAACCATTACCCGATGGACGCACCGACATTTAATTTTTCTATCCAAAACTATTCACAACGTCTCCATATGTAAAGTCTAGAAATCGACAGTGAAATCAATATCAGCCATATCTTTTCAACCAATAAAAAATTTAATAACATTTAGAACACATATCCAAAGCAATCATCTCTCCATCCTAGACAACAACAGTGACCCAAAATTAGTTCCATTTAGTACTTTTCGACCAATTATACGCCTTTTAGAAAAATCTCTATAACTCAACCTCAAATACCAGCAGCGATATTTATGTATAATTTCAAGATTTCAGGACTCGTTATCATAACCCATTACCCAATCTAGTAACACTTAGTGCACAGAAAAAAATCAAATTTCCGGATTTTAGACCTATCCCTTCGCCCAATACCCAGTTTAGTACCACTTAGAACATTTTGAAAAAAATATAGGTCACATTTCCGAACCATCGCCAAATCTCAAAAGCAGATACCATCAGTAATGTAAATATCAAATTTCGGTATTTCATCCCCATTGCTTCACCCAATACCCTATTTAGTACCACTTTGTATTTTTGGTACAAATGTTGAACGTATTTTCAAACCACTTCCGTATGTCCCGCTACACATGAACAGTGATTCTAATAATTAAGATTGTTCACCTGTTCACACAATACCAAACTGTACCAAGTATAGTACTATTTAGTACATTTCGTGCACTTGTTGTACACCAAACCACCTTTATAACACAAACCTACCACCAACATGGACCCCAATACAAATCTTTAAAAATCCTACTTCATCCTTTCACTTTAAACCAAGCTGTTCCAAATTTAATAGCACTTAGTAGAGTTCGCACACGTTTTTGTTGCAATATTTTTATACCCTACACCACAAGGTGGTCAGGGTATTATGTCTTTGTGCATTTGTTTGTAACAGGCAAAAGGAAACGAGATAGACCCATAGTTCCTTTTGATGATCTACATAGAATCACTTTCTGAGTTGATTTATGCATGTCAGTCCGTCTGTCCGTCCGTCTGTCTGTCCATGTATTCTTGTGAACAAAATGCAGGTCGCATTTATTGCCCGATCCAGATGAAATTTTGCAAAGATCTTTTGTTTGGCCCAAGGACGAACCCTATTGAAATTGGAGATAGTCGGTAAAAATTTAGATATAGCTCCCATATATATCTTCGTCCGATATGCCTTTTATTGTGCACCAAATGTGTAATATCAGCCCGAATAGTATGGAATTTTGCATATACAACCAAATTAGGCCTGAAAATAAGTATGCCAAATTTTATCGAAATCGGTTCAGATATAGCTATAGCTCCCATATATATTGTTCATCCGATTTGTTATTTTTGTCCTCCGCAGCCGTAATATGCACTCTGTAACAACAATATTTGGGGAAATATATCAAATGCAGCTCAGAAATACCTTTGCTTAATTTTATCGAGATCGGTTCAGATTTGGATATAGCTCCCATTTATAACTTCGTCCGATTTACCATTTATTGTGCACCAAACGTCTAATATTTGTCCAAATGGGATGGATTTGGCACATACGACCGAATTTAGTCTAGAAGGTAGTATGCCAAATTTGGTGAAGATCGGTTCAGATATAGTTATAGCTCCCATATATATTGTTCATTCGATTTGTTGTATTTGTTACCTACAGCCGTAATATGCACTCCGTAACAACGATATTCACGGAAATATATCAAATACAGCTCAGAAATATCTTTGCCAAATTTTATCGAGATCGGTTCAGATTTGGATATAGTTCCCATATATATTTTTATCCGATTTCAAATTAATTTCGCACCAAATGGACAATACAAGTCCGAATTTAAAAGATACAAATGCTTCGGCATATTTTGTCCTTGAATTTTAAATTATAATTATAATCATAGCGTTTATGATTGAATTCTCCCATAAAAACTTTTAATTATTAAGTGGAGCTCAACTAAATTATCAAAGTGGTGTAGGGTATCATAAAATCGGCCCCGCCTGACTTTAGGACTTTCTTTACTGGTTTTCTGTGTCACAGTGTTGTCATAGTTTCTTGGCTTCCCAACAGGATGGATATCTAGCAATAGATACTGATAATACCACTCTGGATACGGTGAACTATTGTATATCGCCTCAATATGATGGACAAAGTCAAATTCCCAAATTGATGGCCATGAGTTGTCCGATGAAAACTGAAAAAACCCCTTCGATGGTGCTGAATACATATGGTAAGTATACAAAAAAAAAAAAAATAAATAAAATAAAAATAAAATAAAGAAAAAAAATTTGCAAATCGATTGGAATTCAAAATACATGATGTAAATACATTCAATATCGTAAATACAAAAAATATCTCATTCTATTTCTTTTTATTTTAAGAAAATTATTTCCGCACTAATTTCGCTCTCTTCCAGGTATTGCTATATCGGTGGTATTTTTTATACCTACCATCCTTATACATTTAGCGGTGAAGGAATTGCGTAGCTCATTGACAGGCAAACTACAAACATGCTATCTAATTGCCCTGGCAACTGGATACTCAATAATGGGCTACATTAACATGACACAAGGACGTTGGCCAGTCTCAAAATGCCGATCAATTGGTTAGTGTCTCATCATCATGTCTCACCCTCTCCCTGTCTGTCAAACGATTTACATTTTTTTTTTTAGGTTTCACGGGATATTACTTCTTTATGTCAGCCTATTTATGGTTGGGCGTCCTCTGCTACGATATGTGGAAAACATTTCGAGAATGTAAAATCAACAACGAGAAGAATCGGGATAATATGAACCGTTTCATTTTATATTCGGTTTTTGTTTGGGGTACCGCCGGCACGTTCACATTGTTCGTAATATGGGCCCAACTTACCAAGGTCATAATGGAGCAGTATAAACCTGGCATTGGGTTGGAAATGTGTTGGATAGACAGTAAGTAGTAGTAGCAGTATTTTCATTACCATATATATCCTCAGCCATATGGCTACCGGGGGTATATATCTTTTGATACGTCCAAATCGTGCCTCATCGAAATAATGGAACAAATCCGTTACAGGGCATTTGCATGGCGTCCGTCCTTCTGTCTGTCCGACTGGGTGGAGCGCACGATAACTCTCGAAGAGAGAATCCGATTTGGTCCAAACTTGGTATATCATCATCGTCGTATCCTTCTGGTCGCTGTCCCATAAAAACCAAAATTTTCCAAAAAATAAATAAATAAATAAAAAACCAGTAAAGAAAGTCTTAAAGTCGGGCGGGGCCGACTTTATGATACCCTACACCATTTTGCTAATTAAGTAGAGCTCCACATAACAATTAAAAGTTTTTATGGGAGAATTCAATCATACACGCCATGATTATAATTATAATTTAAAGTTCAAAGGACTAAATATGGCGAAGCATTTGTATCTTTTAAATTCGGAATTGTATTGCCCATTTGGTGCACAATTAATTTGAAATCGGATAAAGATATATATGGGAGCTATATCCAAATCTGAACCGATCTCGATAAAATTTGGCAAAGATATTTCTGAGCTGTATTTGATATATTTCCCTGAATATCGTTGTTACGGAATGCATATTACGGTTGTGGGTAACAAATATAACAAATCGGATGAATAATATATATGGAAGCTATAGCTATATCTGAACCGATCTTCACCAAATTTGACACACTAGCTTCTAGGCTCAATTCGGTTGTAAGTGCCAAATTCCATCACATTTGGACAAATATTAGACGTTTGGTGCACAATAAAAAGTAAATCGGACGAAGTTATATATGGGAGCTATATCCAAATCTGAACCGATCTCGATAAAATTTAGCAAATGTATTTCTGAGCTGTATTTGATATATTTCCCCATATATTTTTGTTGCAGAGTGCATATTACGGCTGCGGAGGACAAAAATAACAAATCGGATGAACAATATATATGGGAGCTATAGCTATATCTGAACCGATTTCGATCAAATTTCGCATACTTATTTTCAGGCCTAATTTGGGTGTATATGCAAAATTCCATACTATTCGGGCTGATATTACACGTTTGGTGCACAATAAAAGGCAAATCGGACGAAGATATATATGGGAGCTATATCCAAATTTTGAGCGATTATCTCCAATTTCAATAGCGTTCGTCCTTATGCCAAATAAATGATCTGTGCAAAATTTCATCTGGATCGGGCAATAAATGCGACCTGTACTTTGTTTACAAAAATACATGGACAGACGGACGGGCGGACAAGCATAAATCGACTCAGAATGTGATTCTATGCAGATCATCAAAAGGAACTATGGGTCTATCTCGGTTCCTTTTGCCTGTTACAAACAAATGCACAAAGACATAATACCCTGACCACCTTGTGGTGTAGGGTATAAAAACGCGAAATGACCATCCGATTATTTTAAATTTGTTACATCCCAATATTTCTATCAACACAAGACCAGTTGTGAATATGGAATGTCGGACAGCTCCTTTTGATGCCTCCCCCCAAACGGGTCAAAATTTTGAATATTTATTTCACTCATGAAATGCAAAACTAACATCCGATTCTCTTCAACATCTTAATATTGCTATCAAAACAAGATTTGTTGTGAATATGGTAGATATCGGCCCGCTTCTTATTTCACCTCCCTCAGATTTAAAATGTGGAATAATTATATCTCTTATAAAATGCGAAATAAGAGTCTAATTATCGTAAAATTGCACTCATCCTAATATTTTTATTAACACAAGATCTGGTGTGAAAATGGGATAAATCAGATCACTCCTTCTGGTACCTCGCCCAGAAGGTGGCAAACACTTTGAATAATTACGTCAGATATATAATGGTCAATATTGGTCTAGTCCTTCGGAACTGACCCACACCCCCACAAAAAAAAAAAAAAAAAAGGTGAACAGTTTGAATAATCTTAACGTAAGGCTGAGGGTATACATCTGTCGGCTAAACCGACTGATACTTTTCAACTTATTTTTGATATTAATTAATTCCCGTTTTTAGCTCGTAAATGGTCTGCAGCTTTATATTTTTACTTACCGAATTTTGCGATTATGGTATTTAATATTACTGCTTTTTTCCAAGTGGCCATGGTGATATATGAGGTCAAAAGAGACGTGTCAACCTACGAAACGAATAGAGAGAAAAAACGACGCGAAAAGTAAGTAAGGATTTGTTGTACATCGGTAGGAGCTAAGGCCAAAGCTGTAGTTTGGTATTATAATTTATGTTTAAATTAATATAAGAAAGAGTTTCATAAACAAATAGATAAACAAATATTGTAAACCAAATATTGCAGAAAAAACCAGTAAAGTATGAAAGTAAAACTCACAAGTAACAAGTAAAAAAGCTATACGTTCGGCCGGGCCGAACTTTTAATACCCTCTACCATTTGGTACAAATTTGGCAATTTCCAAAAAAAATAAAATAAAAAAAATCCTTTAAAAATTCTGTTAAAATCTTAAAAATACCGAATGTCTATACGACGACGTATACGTGCATAGCAACTTTTGTCATAAGATATTACAACATTTAAATGCGAATCTTGAAGAAAGAAGAAGAAGAATTTGTTTATAATGTAGCTAAAATCATCAAAATACCGAATATAGGGGGTACCGTTATATGGGGGCTATACGAAGACGTGGACCTGCACAGACAATTTTCTGGCATGGGCTGAAGTATCCATTACGAACTTCAAATGCGAAATTGGAAACAATCCCGGTAAATAATGTCGCTAAAATCATCAAAATACCGAATATCGGGGGGTACGGTATATGGGGCCTATACGAAGACGTGGACCTACATGGTCCATTTTCTGTTTTCTGCTGCAGTATCTATTACGAACTTCAAATACCAAATTTGGAACGGTTCTGTTAAATAATGTCGCTAAAATCATCAAAATACCGAATATCGAGGGGTACCGTTATATGGGGGCTATACGAAGACGTGGACCTGCGCAGATAATTTTCTGTCTTAGGCTGTAGTATCCATTACGAACTTCAAATGCCAAATTTGAAATAATTCCGGTGAATAATGTCGCTAAAATCATCAAAATACCGAATATCGAAAGGTACCGTTATATGGGGGCTATATGAAAACTTGGACCTACATGACCCATTTACGAACTTAACCTGCCTACTGGCAAAATATACATGTGTGCAAAATTTTAGCCTTCTATCTCAATTTGTTCGAAAGATAGCGTGATTACAACAGACAGACAGACACACAGACAGACAGACGGACATGGCTAAATCGTCTTAGAATTTTACGCTGATCAAGAATATATATACTTTGTTGGGTCTGACGTGAGTATTTCGAGGAGTTACAAACGGAATGACAAAATTAATATACCCTCCATAGTATGGTGGAGGGTATAAAAAAGCACCATTTGGAAGGAACTTGAAAAAATGCAGAAAAAAATCCATCGAAAATACCTCTCAAATAAAATCAGTCATATGACGGCTATACGAGGAAGTGATCATGTACATATACGCGATTTTTTGTCGTAGGCTTTGGTACCCATTACGAACTTTACATTTGAACACAATTCCGGTTGAAGTGTCGCTAAAATCATCAAAATACCGAATGTTGGGAAGTACCGTTATATGGGGGCTTTACGAAAATATGGACCACCATGGACCATTCACGAATTTAACCTTCTGGCAAAATACACATGTAGGCAAAATGTTAGCCTTCCATCTCAAATCTTTCCAGACATAGCGTGATTACAACCGACAGACACCCAGACAGCCGCTGATCATAAATATATGTACTTTGTTGGGTCTAACATAGGTATTTCGAGGAGTATGGTGGAGAGTATAAAAAGCAAAGTAAGTTCCACATTTTTTATACCCTCAGTCATATGACTAGAAAGGATAGATATATCAGAACCAAATCCGTTTCAGGATTTTTGGAGTTAATCTAGCGATGTCCCTCCGTCCGTCAGCCTGGCTGGTGAGCATCAACTCTCGAAGGGGGTATCCGAAATCATTCAGACTTGGCACATTTCAATAATTTAATCAACACAATATCTGTTATAAAGATGGTAGAGGTCGGACCATTCCTTTGATACCACCCCCACAAAGCGTCAACGTTTTGAATAACCAAAACCATTTTATTATCCGAAATAAACATCCGGCTCTCTTCATAGTTCACACATCCCATTATTTCTACTAACACAAGAGTGTTATATATCAAGAGAATATATCGACCAACTCCATTTGGTACCTCCCGCACAAATTGTTAACATTTTGAATATCCATGATGCTCATAAAACTCAAAATTAACATCCGATTCCGTTCAGATTTGGTACATCTCAATATTTCCATCAACACAAGATCTTTTTTAAAGATGGTAAAGATTGAACCAAAGTTTTGAATAACCAAAACGATTATAAAATCAAAAATAAGCATCAGTTTCTCTTTATATTTCAAATATCTCATTATTTTTACTTACACCAGATCTGCTGTGAATATGCGATATATCGGTCCACTCCTACTTCGTCAAATGTTTGAATACCCATGAAGCTCATAAAATGCGAAATTACATCCGATTCCATTGAGACTTGGTACATCTCAGAATTTTCATCAACACAAGATCTGTTATAAAGATGGAAGAGATCGGACCATTTCTTCTGGTACCTGCCCCACATAGGGTTCAAGATTTTTAAAAACAAAACGCTCAAATTTCACACATACAAATATTTTTTCTAATGTCCCCTTCGGTACCTCACACACAAATGATAAAAATTTTCAATAATTTTAGCCGTCATAACTGGCGAAACAAGTCGGCGATTCCCTACAACTTGTTATATCTAAATATTTCTCTCAACCAGAAACCTGAAATGAATATGGAATTTATGCTTTCGCATGAAGTTGAATATAAAAAATATTCGATTTTCTTGTAATATTTAGCAGGTGAAATAGACCATAACATTTCTGTTAAAGTAAAGTCAAATTTTCCACAAAACCGCGCATATTTTTAATCCCGGCGAAATCACAAATAGGCGAACAGGTCAATTCTGACCGTAACGTAGATGCCGATAATAAATATATCGGATATATATATATATATATATATATAGCGAAATATATTCAATGTGTATATACTTACAAAGGAAGAGATGATAGCTAGAATGCGTTTATCTCAAAAATGGCTGGACCGATTTTGACAAATTTTGTCAATTCAGAATGCCCTCTTGGCATAAAAATATAAAATCTAAAAAAATCGCTTAAAATAATGTCAATAATTATGTTAATATAGATTTTGTAGAATTTTGTGACATTTTTTTAATTTTTTCATATTTTTTATCGTATGCAATTTTTTCAATTTGACTTAAAATATTGAAGTGTAAATTTTGTAATATTTTTTCACTTTACAACACAGGTGGGGTTATTATATGGGGGCTATATGAAAACTTGGACCTACATGACCCATTTACGAACTTAACCTGCCTACTGGCAAAATATACATGTGTGCAAAATTTTAGCCTTCTATCTCAATTTGTTCGAAAGATAGCGTGATTACAACAGACAGACAGACACACAGACAGACAGACGGACATGGCTAAATCGTCTTAGAATTTTACGCTGATCAAGAATATATATACTTTGTTGGGTCTGACGTGAGTATTTCGAGGAGTTACAAACGGAATGACAAAATTAATATACCCTCCATAGTATGGTGGAGGGTATAAAAAAGCACCATTTGGAAGGAACTTGAAAAAATGCAGAAAAAAATCCATCGAAAATACCTCTCAAATAAAATCAGTCATATGACGGCTATACGAGGAAGTGATCATGTACATATACGCGATTTTTTGTCGTAGGCTTTGGTACCCATTACGAACTTTACATTTGAACACAATTCCGGTTGAAGTGTCGCTAAAATCATCAAAATACCGAATGTTGGGAAGTACCGTTATATGGGGGCTTTACGAAAATATGGACCACCATGGACCATTCACGAATTTAACCTTCTGGCAAAATACACATGTAGGCAAAATGTTAGCCTTCCATCTCAAATCTTTCCAGACATAGCGTGATTACAACCGACAGACACCCAGACAGCCGCTGATCATAAATATATGTACTTTGTTGGGTCTAACATAGGTATTTCGAGGAGTATGGTGGAGAGTATAAAAAGCAAAGTAAGTTCCACATTTTTTATACCCTCAGTCATATGACTAGAAAGGATAGATATATCAGAACCAAATCCGTTTCAGGATTTTTGGAGTTAATCTAGCGATGTCCCTCCGTCCGTCAGCCTGGCTGGTGAGCATCAACTCTCGAAGGGGGTATCCGAAATCATTCAGACTTGGCACATTTCAATAATTTAATCAACACAATATCTGTTATAAAGATGGTAGAGGTCGGACCATTCCTTTGATACCACCCCCACAAAGCGTCAACGTTTTGAATAACCAAAACCATTTTATTATCCGAAATAAACATCCGGCTCTCTTCATAGTTCACACATCCCATTATTTCTACTAACACAAGAGTGTTATATATCAAGAGAATATATCGACCAACTCCATTTGGTACCTCCCGCACAAATTGTTAACATTTTGAATATCCATGATGCTCATAAAACTCAAAATTAACATCCGATTCCGTTCAGATTTGGTACATCTCAATATTTCCATCAACACAAGATCTTTTTTAAAGATGGTAAAGATTGAACCAAAGTTTTGAATAACCAAAACGATTATAAAATCAAAAATAAGCATCAGTTTCTCTTTATATTTCAAATATCTCATTATTTTTACTTACACCAGATCTGCTGTGAATATGCGATATATCGGTCCACTCCTACTTCGTCAAATGTTTGAATACCCATGAAGCTCATAAAATGCGAAATTACATCCGATTCCATTGAGACTTGGTACATCTCAGAATTTTCATCAACACAAGATCTGTTATAAAGATGGAAGAGATCGGACCATTTCTTCTGGTACCTGCCCCACATAGGGTTCAAGATTTTTAAAAACAAAACGCTCAAATTTCACACATACAAATATTTTTTCTAATGTCCCCTTCGGTACCTCACACACAAATGATAAAAATTTTCAATAATTTTAGCCGTCATAACTGGCGAAACAAGTCGGCGATTCCCTACAACTTGTTATATCTAAATATTTCTCTCAACCAGAAACCTGAAATGAATATGGAATTTATGCTTTCGCATGAAGTTGAATATAAAAAATATTCGATTTTCTTGTAATATTTAGCAGGTGAAATAGACCATAACATTTCTGTTAAAGTAAAGTCAAATTTTCCACAAAACCGCGCATATTTTTAATCCCGGCGAAATCACAAATAGGCGAACAGGTCAATTCTGACCGTAACGTAGATGCCGATAATAAATATATCGGATATATATATATATATATATATAGCGAAATATATTCAATGTGTATATACTTACAAAGGAAGAGATGATAGCTAGAATGCGTTTATCTCAAAAATGGCTGGACCGATTTTGACAAATTTTGTCAATTCAGAATGCCCTCTTGGCATAAAAATATAAAATCTAAAAAAATCGCTTAAAATAATGTCAATAATTATGTTAATATAGATTTTGTAGAATTTTGTGACATTTTTTTAATTTTTTCATATTTTTTATCGTATGCAATTTTTTCAATTTGACTTAAAATATTGAAGTGTAAATTTTGTAATATTTTTTCACTTTACAACACAGGTGGGGTTATTATATATAGATTGCAATTATCGTTCGATCTTCACGAAAATTTTCACAAGGGTAAGGTTAGGCTCAGAAGAGCCATTGTTTTCAAGAAAATTTTCCTGATTTTGCAGCCGTTCGATCATCTCAAGCAAGAGGCCCCTCTGAATCTTCAAATTTAGACTCATTCGTTCGCCTTTTGTGAATTTCGGATATCGCCTGTAAGTAATGTTGGTATTTTTTTTTACACAAAAGTAGTGGTCCATTCTACCCGCTGTCCTAAACTCTAACTTCATGCAAGATTCCGTGTCCTTTGGTTTCTATTTGTGACCTTTATAATTGCTGCAAAATCAGGACCTTTTTTAGTTTTTGGTCCATTTCAACCCCTAAATATATTGCGGACATTATTGAAAACAATAGGCCTAACCCTACCCTTGTGAAAATGTTCGTGAGGATCGGTGAAAATCGCCCCAACCTTTCTTGAGATATAAGCATTCTAGCTAACATCCCCTTCCTTTGTATATAAACATTGTATATATTTCGCTATATATATCCGATATATTTAATATCGGCATTTACGTAACGGTCAGAATTGATCTTTTCGTCTATTTGTGATTTCGCTGGGATAAAAAATATTCGCGGGTAAATGGAAAATTTGACTTTTATTTAAGACAAATGTTATGGTTTATATTACCCGATGACCAAATTCAAAATTGGAGGGCTTCAGCTCAGCCCTAAGCTCTAGCCCCATGCTAACTTCCGCGTCGATTTGTCTAAAATTGAGACCTGTAGAACAAGTTTTGGTCCATTTCAACCCCTAAATATTATGCGATCATCTCCAAAAACAATAGAGTTCTTTTCTGACCCTACCCCCACCTCTATTTTCAATTTCGTGGTGATCGGGCCATAATTGCGACCTGTAGCTTGATTACAAATTAACATGGACAGACGGACGGACGGACATACATTGCTAGATCGACTCAGCTCGGCGAGGTAGGAAGATCCATATATTGTTTCCCATGTGAGAAACCAATATTTCGAGGGGTTTCATAATTTTTGGGCCAATCAAACTTATAATACCCCCAACACTTAGTGTTGTAGGTTATAAAAATATTATAAAAAACCATAAAATTGGACCATAAACATTTAAAAATACAGGATGGTGTTCAAAAGAATTTTATAGCAGTTACTCTACGAGGAGTATTTTAAAAATATCAGAACTATACATAATATATTTAATAAATAACAAATAGTCAGTCACATAATAATGAAACTGAATGTGTTTTTTTTTTGTTGGTTTCTTTCTTTTAGTGTGCTTATCATTCTACGTCTCTTCCTGATCATGGGCATATCCTGGATAATGGATATCATATCGTACTGTTGCCGCAAATACGAATCGCTGGACTTTCTATTCGGCATAACCGATTTTAGCAATGCCTCACAGGGTGTTTTGATATTTTTCCTATTTATACTTCGACAAAATGTTTTAATTGCAATTAAGGAACTGTGAGTTAATTAAATTTTAATGTCCATTATCGTCGTATAAATAGTGTTTTTTTTTGCAGTTTGTACAGATTTGGAATAATCAAACGGCCTCCTGCTCCTCCCATAAAATGTCAAGGCATTGGCCGGACAACAGAAGGACAAACGTCGAAAAAGAATACTTCTTCAGCAAGAATATCTTCTAGATTTTCTGTTTCGACGGCACCACCATAAAGGGCAATTATGTTGTTTATGTATTTCAGAATGGCTTCTAAGATACAAGTACATGTTATATGTTTATATTGACGATAAATGTTTATAAGCAAATACATATTTGAAGTGTTGTACAAAGTCAGAGTTTTTTTCTTTTTATACCCTCCACCATACTATGGAGGGTATATTAACTTTGTCATTCCGTTTGTAACTCCTCGAAATACTCATGTCAGACCCAACAAAGTATATATATATTCTTGATCAGCGTAAAATTCTAAGTCGATTTAGCGATGTCCGTCTGTCTGTCCGTATGTCTGTCTGTTGTAATCACGCTATCTTTCGAATGAATTGAGATAGATGGCTAAAATGTTGCACACATGTTTATTTTTCCAGTAGGCAGGTTAAGTTCGTAAATGGGCCGTGTAGGTCCACGTTTTCATATAGCCCCCATATAACGGTACCTCCCGATATTCGGTATTTTGATGCTTTTAGCGACATTATTCACCGGAATTGTTTCAAATTTGGTATTTAAAGTTCGAAATGGATACTACACCCTAAGACAGAAAAATGTCTGTGCATGTCCACGTCTTCGTATAGCCCCCATATAACGGTACCTCCCTATATTCGGTATTTTGATGACTTTAGCGACATTATTTAACGGTATTTTTTCAAATTTCGTATTTGAAGTTCGAAATGAATTCTACACCTTAAGACAGAAAATTGTTTGTGCAGGTCCACGTCTTCCTATAGCCCCCATATAGGGGTACCTCCCAATATTCGGTATTTTCATGATTTTAGCGTCATTATTTACCAGAGTTGTTTCAAATTACGTATTTGGAGTTCGTTATTAGAACTACAATCTGTGACAGAAAATTGTCTATGTAGGTCCAGGTCTTCGTATAGGCCCCATATATCAGTACCTCCCTATATTCGGTGTTTTGACGATTTTAGGTACAATACCCATCAAAATTATTTGAGATGTGGTATTTAAAATTCGTAATGGATGCTACAGCCTGTGACAGATAATTGTCTATGCAAGTGCAGGTCTTCGCATAGCTCCGATATAACGATACCTCCCTATATGCGATATTTAGACGATTTTATCTACATTATTCACTGTTTATTTCAAGTTTCGACTTTGAATATGGTAATGGCTTATGACAAACAACGCCTATGTAGGGGTCCACGTCGTATAGACCCCAATAGACGGCTTTATTTGGAATTTTTCAAAATTTTAACAGAATTTTTTAAGAATTTTATTTTTTGAAAATTTTTAAATTCGTTCCAAAAGGTGGAGGGTATTCAAAGTTCGGCCCGGCCGAACTTACTGCTTTTTAACTTGTTTTTAATTTAACTTTCGGTACACATAGTACATTCGAGTCTTTAATTGTATGGTCGATGTTGAAAAAGTTGTACCATTATAGGTATATGTACGAAAAAGTACTACTCCTGGAAAACTTTCTGTTTTACCGTTTTCCATAAGTATGAAATCCTTTGAGCCACGAATATTTAGTTGAAACTAACTTTCATTTTTTTTTTTGCACGGGAAGGAATAGCTAGTACAATTTGATATCCAAAGTGTAGGTACTAAAATAGTACAACAATTACATCCTCAGCCATATGGATTCAGGATATTTGGAGGGATGTCCGCCCGTCTGTCTGTGTGTCTGGCTGGTTTGCACGATAACTCTCGAAGGGAGTATCGGATTTGGTCTAAACTTGGTGCATCGTGATATTATTATTAAACTTTGATCGAGTTCGGAGATGGGCAATATCGGTTCACTCCATCTGGTCGACATTTTCAAAAAAAATATTTTTTACACAGAAAGAGAAAGGATAATCCAATTTAGCTCCAACATTGCACTTCCTAATGTTTGCATCAGTGATAGATTAGGTGCGAAAATGAATAATATCGCTCTACTCCATCAAGTACCTGCCGCACAAAGGGTCAAAATTTTGAAAAATGCTAACACAAAAAGTGATGTAAGAAGAGAGAATTATACAGATAATACTATTTTTACTAACCCAAGGTCTGGTGGTATACCACTCCTTCTGGTAACTGGTAGCAAAGGCTTTAATGGGGCGGGAACATTTTGAATTTTGAATTTTGTACCCGAAGAAGTGGTCCGATATTTTTCCATCTGCGAACTAGATGTAAATTGCATAATAATATTACGATGTACCAAGTTTGGGATAAATAAAAAAACAAGCAAAAAGCAGTAAGTTCGGTCGAGCCGAACTTTGAATACCCTCCATCATTTGGAACGAATTTGGAAAAAATTCTGTTAAAATCTTAAAAATACAGAATATAACCGTTATATTGGGGTCTATACCAAGACGTCGACCTATATAGGCAACTTCTGTCATAAGCCATTATAATTTTCAAATACGAAACTTAAAAAAAAAAACGGTGAATTAGCTAAAATCATCAAAATACCGGATATGGTGAGGTACAGTTACACGGGGCTATATGGTGGAGGGTATGAAAAAAATAAATTTCAGCAGAAAATTTATATATTAAAAACAAGTAAAAAAACATTAAGGTCGGCCGGGCCAAACTTTAAATACCCTCCATCTTAGGGTAAAAGAAACATTAGAAGAAATGTGGCAAAAACCATTAAAATGCCGAATATCGGGAGGTACCGTTATATGGGGGCTACACCAAAACGTGGACCTATAAATACAATGTTTCGCCACACGAACTAGGACCCATTATGACCCACAAATACCAATTTTTAGACAAATCAGTGAAAAAATGTGGCAAAAACCATCAAAATACCGAATACCGGGAGGTACCGTTATATGGGGGCTATACCAAATCATGGACCCATACATGCAATGTTTCGCCACCGGAGCTGGAACCCATTATGACCAAAAATTCAGAAAATTTCAGATAAATCCGTGAAAAAATGTGGTATAAATCATCAAAATACCGAATATCGGGTGGTACCGTTATATGGGGACTATACCAGAACGTGGACCGATATATCTCATTTTCAATACCAACCATCCTACACACAATGCAAATTGCTCTGCCAAATTGTGGCGCTCTACGTTAAATAATGTGGGATGTATCGTGATTTCAACAGACAGACAGACAGACAGACGGACATCGTTAAATCGACTAAGAATTTTATGCTGATTATGAATATATATACTTTATGGGGTTTAAGACGAATATTTAAAGATGTTACAAACGGAATGACAAAGTTAATATACCCTCCTTTCCAAGGTGGAGGGTATAAAAATCCATAATTATAAAATTTATTTTCTAAAATATTAAAAATTTTCCGAAACTTCACTATTATAACAGGATTCCAAAACATAGTTTATTATGGCTGGGGCCTTAACAATTAATGCCGGTGTTTTTAGTGTTCGAATGTGTAACGGAATTCGGAACAAAAATAAATTTGGCAAATTATATTGAAATCTGTTCAGATTTGGATATAGCTCCTTTATGAATTTGATACCCAAACACGTTATGTATCTCCAATTCCAATAAAATTTAGAATGTCTGATGGAATTCGGTCTATAATTTATTATCCAAATTATATTGAAATCGGTTCAGATTTGGATATAGCTCCTACACGCAGAAAAATATATGTTAGAAATATGTTTGGATCCAAACATATATTTGTTTGGGACTGGTTGCAAACAAATATATTTTTGGATGCAAACATAATTTGTTTCGGTGCAAACAAATATTTGTTTGCAACATTTTGTAACATAACTCAATTTTATTTGTTAGGTACCAACATATTTTATATGTTAGAACATATTTTTTTATGGGTGCGGAGAGGATTTTTTTCAAAGAGCTAAACAACAGAGCTCTCGATTACTTTTGAATTGGTGTTATAGGTGACTTAAAAGAAGACAGGAGGGTGAGAAGTCTGTTTTTGCGTTGATGATGTGTTGGCTTGGTTGGCCGCACAACAAAGCAGAACCGAAACATTTTTTGCTCTCTTCCAAATATAACTGTAAATAGAAGTTGTATGTATGCATGAACATTAGTAAGAAGTAACGTCTCAGCAACAACTAGAAAATACACACCGCACAACAACAACAACGAAAAAACTTTTTGCATGATTTTTCGTTGCTGTTGTGCGGTGTGAATTTTCTAGTTGTTGCTGAGACGTTACTTCTTACTAATGTTCATGCATACATACATACATGCGTTTTTCGCATTAACACCGACATATATACAGAGGAGTCAATTTTTTTGTGTGTTGTTGTTGTAACGTTTTCTTTCTCAAGTAGGCATTTTTTGGTGCATGGACAATAGAAAAGAAATAAACGTCTCAGCAACAGTTTCCATCCCTCTTGCCGCGCACACACCACACATAGTTACAGCAGCGATCGGCAGTGTTTGCTTGGTGAGAGCAAAAGAGCGTAATATTGGCGCGTGTCTCAAGTTGAGATGGGATGGAAACTGTTGCTGAGACGTTTATTTCTTTTCTATTGTCCATGCACCAAAAAATGCCAACAACAACACACAAAGAGCTGTTTGGATGTTTTTTTGTTGCTGAGACGTTGCTTCTTACTAATGTTCATGCATACATACATGCGTTTTTCGCATACACACCGATTTGCTTGATGAGAACAAAAGAGCGTAACATTTGCGCGTGTCTCATGTTGGCATTCTGGTTGTGTTCTTTTTTTATTCTTTTTATTTGTTTTGTGCCTTCGCGTCGTGTCACAAGTGTTGTAATAAATGTTGATACCAACTGTTTTGGGGGAAGACAAATTATTTGTCGAAGCGCCGGAGCCTTTAAATCAGGGGTGCTCAAGAAGAAATATCTCTTTTCAGTCAAATTTCTCTTTGCTTATTTAAATCAAGAACAAAACAGTGTTAAGTCATTATTTATACAAATATTTTTTATCCATTTGCTTTATAAATTATTTTGGCAAACATTCGTGTTTAAAAACAATTAAATAGAACCGTAAAATATAAAGAAAAACAGAATTTTAATTTTCTCTTAAATTATCTCTTTTTTCTGTTCATGTTCTAGAACACGGTTTTGAGCACCGCTGCTTTAAATCTACAAAGCTTTATAAAAGCAGCCAAATTAGAGTTAAAAATTGATGCCTCAAGAAAAATAACAGCCTTAGTGTTTGGTGCAACCATTAAAGAAGACCAGTTTGAAAAAGTAATTCATCAATATATGTCAACACCTACTTTTCAAATTGAGTTGCAATTTGGAGGTAAGTAAACTGGATTTACAGCCTGTTTCTTTATGTCGGAACAAAAAAAATTTCGTTTCAAAATAAAGAAACAGGCTGTTAATATTTTTTTCTTTTTTTTAATTAATATATTTCTTTTTTTAAATAATATATTTAATTTTCATTTAGACTCCGTTCGATCAGTGGCACCAGCATCGACAGTTAGTGGCACTCTATCGGAGTGTGAATCCGTAGGTGGTTTTGGGGATCTTACCCCAAAAACAAATGTTATTTCAACTTTAAAGACTGACATAGAGTCCATCAAGTCAATTCCGGCTGTCAACAAAATATGGAGAATTTTTATTGCCGAAAAACGCCTGCAAAATAAAGATAGGGTGAATATTTCGAAGGCCCTTATTGACGAATGTCTAAAAGAAGACCCTAACAGATTGTAAGTATTTTACTTTATTGAAAAAATAGTGATTGTAATAAAAGGAAAAATAATAAATTAATAAATAAAAATAATAACAAATATTAAGAATAATATTAATAATAATAAATTAAAAAATTAATATAAAATAAAAGTTTTATGAAAACTGGCACGATATAAATTATAAACTTATTAACAAATGTTTATTTTATTTTATCAATAACAACAATATATTATTTATAAAAATTAAAACATAATAAATTAATATTAGAAACATAAGAATAATTTTAAGCATAATAAAAATTGTAATAATTAAAATAATAAAATAATATCAGTAATAAAAAATTGTTAAAAATAATAATATTAAAATAAAAATTCTAATTATAAAGATATTAAAGAAAATAAAAAACTATGTTTCAGTATAAATTATTTATTTTCTTTAATATTTTTATAATTAGAATTTTTATTTTAATATTATTATTTTTAACAATTTTTTATTACTGATATTAATATTATATTAATTATTACAATTTTTATTATGCTTAAAATTATTCTTATGTTTCTAATATTAATTTATTATATTTTAATTTTTATAAATAATATATTGTTGTTATTGATAAAATAAAAATGTGTTAATAATTTAATATTAATTATTAATATCAATATTTTTATTGATTTTAATCAGTTTTATTATTATTTTTTTAGTATTTGCAAAAGTTTTATATTTTTTTGCTTTTATTATTTTTTAATACTTCAATAATTATTGTTATTTATTTATTAAAAAAAAAAATATCTTTCAGACTTAAACGTGAAGATTTTGAAGTTCTGAAGTTATATTATATATTATAATATGTATGAATTTCTTTTATGTTAAATAAAATGTGAATATCAAAAATTGATTTTAAAACTAGTTTGCATTATGGTTGAATTATATCTGCAGTAAGTATACAAATGGACCCAATCATAAATTTATGTTTGCACCCCAATATATATTATGTTTGGACCCAAACATAAATTATATCTAGGTCCAAACACAACTTATGTTTGGACCCAAACATAAGTTCGTTTCCAGTCAAACATACATTATGTTTGGATCTAAACATAAATTATGTTTGCACCCAAACATAAATTATGTTTGAACCCGAACAAAAAATATGTTTGGACCCAAACATTAATTATGTTTGGACCCAAACATTAATTATGTTTGGACCCAAACATAATTTGTTTGCAGCACCCAAACATATGTTATGTTTGGGAATGTTTGCAAACATATATTTGTTTGCTGCAAAATATGTTTGGGACATATGTTAGAGAGGCTTATATTTTTTTGCGTGTATATACATTTGATGCCCAAACAAGTCATGGATCTCCAATTTCAATAAAATTTAGAATGTCTAATGGAATTCGGAATTTATTATCCAAATTATATTGAAATCGGTTCAGATTTAGATATAGCGCCTATATACATTTTCGGCCTATTTCATGTATTTGATGCCCAAACACGTTATGTATCTCCAATTCCAATAAAATTTAGAATGTCTGATGGAATTCGGTCTATAATTTATTATCCAAATTACATTGAAATCGGTTCAGATTTAGATATAGCTCCCACATATATATATATATATATATATATATATATATATATATATTCGGCCGATTTCATGTATTGGATGCACAAAACACGCTATGTATCTCCAATTTCAATGAAATGTGGAATGGTTAACGGGATTTGGAACAGAATAAAATTTGCAAAATCATATTGAATCGTTTCGGATTTACATATAGCTCTCTTATATATTTTCAGCTGATTTCATGTATTTGACGTTATATTTATCCAATTTCAATGAAATCTGGAAACAAATTTATAAAATTACAGTACAGATTTGGATATAGTTTCTATATAACTTTTTTCGCCTGATTTCGTGTATTTGATGCACCAAACATATGATATGTTTCTCAAATTTCAATGAATATTGGAATGTGTGACGGAATTTGGCTAAGTACTCGTAGGCTAACAGTAAAAAAAAAACTACAAAACAATTTAATTGAGTCTACGATTATTACGGGTATGATATGTATTGCTACCTAAAATCTCTCCAATATCTACAAAAATGCAGTTTAACTTGAAAAGATTGCAGTTTCCTCTACCGTTGGCATTTACTATGACAAATAATAAATCCCTGAGACAAACTCTTCTTGTATGCGGACTAAATTTAGCATGTTCCTGCTTTGCTCATGATCAGCTTTACGTGGAATGTTCATGTGAGGGTAGACCTAACGATATGTTTGCTAACGCTTCTATAAAATATATAGGGAAGCCTTTTTGGATACTTCTACCAGACGGTCTTTGAAATAAAAATTTTGTTATTTTTATAATTACTGTCACTTACGGGCTTAGCCCTACAGAGAGCGCAATATAAAGCCAAAGATGATGCATACTTATAAATATCTTAAAAATTCATTTTCTATAAATCATGCCAATGCTGCTGTGGCATATGCAATATTCAGTTTAGAACAAGATCTACAACAAAAATGATGTTGTCAATAAAAAACGTCATAATTTTTCTATTGCTACAAGTGAAAAGACTGCAATTGGCGCCTTTAACAAACGGTGCGTTGTGTCCCTTTAAGGACACAATTGATCTCAGCGGTAAGCGGCCACTTGAAAACGGTTCATATATCCACGAAAACGTGTTGATATCGCGCACCCAAGTCGCCGAATATAAATTTCGTCTGTACTTCGGCAACAATGCACGGGAAACTGAAACACATTTACGTGGTTGTGTCTGTGGTAAACCAAAGATGTGCGTGAAGTTATGCTGTCGCCATGATGAGTTCTACAACGAATATACTTTTCGTTGCGAAAGAATACCCAAAGATACGAAAATAAATGTTTACATGAACATCGCCATGGACAGTGGAAAGAAGCAGCGGGTGAATATATATCAACGTTTTGTATTGCAAATGGGTAGGCCCTGTCAATATTTGGAATATTTATTGGGCGACAAGGATTTGTGGGAACTAAAGGAGGTGGGTAGGGAGGGAATGTTTTAAAATGTATTCATTATTGAAGATGTAACATGTACAAACACGTAGTAGTAACGAGTAAAAGATGTGTTGAGTGTGAACACCATTACCAAATAATTAAAGAAAATAAAACCAGTAAAGAAAGTCCTAAAGTCGGGCGGGGCCGATTTTATGATGCCCTACACCACTTTGCTAATTTAGTTGAGCTCCACTTAATAATTAAAAGTTTTTATGGGAGAATTCAATCATACACGCTATGATCATAATTATAATTTAAAATTCAAAGGACTAAATATGCCGAAGCATTTGTATCTTTTAAATTCGGAATTGTATTGCCCATTTGGTGCGAAATTAATTTGAAATCGGATAAAAATGTATATGGGAACTATATCCAAATCTGAACCGATCTCGATAAAATTTGGCAAAGATATTTCTGAGCTGTATTTGATATATTTCCCTGAATATCGTTGTTACGGAGCGCATATTACGGCTGTGGGTAACAAATACAATAAATCGGATGAACAATATATATGGGAGCTACAACTATATCTGAATCGATCTTCACCAAATTTGGCATACTACCTTCTAGACTAAATTCGGTCGTATGTGCCAAATTTCATCCCATTTGGACAAATATTAGACGTTTGGTGCACAATAAATGGTAAATCGGACGAAGTTGTATATGGGAGCTATATCCAAATCTGAACCGATCTCGATAAAATTTAGCAAATGTATTTCTGAGCTGCATTTGATATATTTCCCCAAATATTGTTGTTACAGAGTGCATATTACGGCTGCGGAGGACAAAAATAACAAATCGGATGAACAATATATATGGGAGCTATAGCTATATCTGAACCGATTTCGATAAAATTTGGCATACATATTTTCAGGCCTAATTTGGTTGTGTGTGCAAAATTCCATACTATTCGGGCTGATATTACACGTTTGGTGCACAATAAAAGGCAAATCGGACGAAGATATATATATGGGAGCTATATCTAAATTTTTACCGATTATCTTCAATTTCAATAGGGTTCGTCCTTGGGCCAAACAAATGTTGTTTGCAAAATTTCATCTCAATCGGATAATAAATGCGACCTGCATTTTGTTCACAAGAATACATGGACAGACGGACGGACGGACAGACGGACTGACATGCATAAATCAACTCAGAAAGTGATTCTATGCAGATCATCAAAAGGAACTATGAGTCTATCTCGTTTCCTTTTGCCTGTTACAAACAAATTCACAAAGACATAATACCCTGACCACCTTGTGGTGTAGGGTATAAAAATGACAGATGTCGTCCGGGACCGACTATGTGATACTCTACTCCACTATGCGTAATTAGTAGAGGTACACGTAACGAATGTAGTGAAGTGTCTAAAACCTATGTTAAATTCGATTAATTTGAGATCGGATTTTCATATATATCCAGGCCCGCCAGAACATCTGCTTGAGAGCGGAAAGCATGTGCCAACGCCTGGAGTACCTCTCTATGTTGTCGTTGTCTCCTTCGGCGTATTCTGGCGGTAGCGACCGCAGACACGCTACGATTAACAGATGCCCGGGTGTCAGAGTTTCTACGAGGTGGTTGGGGTCTGGAGACAGCGATGATATGGAGCGACTGTTAAGCACCACTTTTATTCCTTTTTATGGCTGCTTCCCACAGGCCTCCGACGTGAGGAATCCTCGGAGGAATAAAGCTGAATTGTACGTTCAGTAATCCACCACGGCGGCGTGGTTCGCGAGGTACTTATCCTGTTATATCTAAATCTGAATCGATTTCCACTTAATTTAAAATATTTATTTTGTACAAAATGTTGGAGAATGCTCAAAATTAAAAGCAAGTATATTCTATATATCGAAGCTATAGCTAAATCTTAGCCGATATGGCCTATACTTGGCAGACGACTTTATTTTGAGTCCAAAATCGTATTTGTTATTTCTTATAACGTATTCCAAGAATTCAGTCTTAATGTTCTGATTTTGATTCCGAATCCCATATAAATTCCGTAGGAAATGTATTTTGCCCAGACCAGTCCATATCGAAAAGCTTTGTCGAAAGTAGTTCAAATAGAGCATAAAACTTTTCCAAACGATGCCAAATAAAATTGACTTAAATGTTATTTTTTTTTTTAATATGTAGTTCTGTCAGGTATAAATCGTCAACATACCGAATTTCTGGCATAAACTGTAGGTTCCCATTATGAACTCTAAATACTAAATTTGAAATAACTCCGGTCAATAATATCGCTAAAATCATTAAAACACCGAATATTGTGAGGTACCGTTATATGGAGGCTATACGAAGACGTGCGCCTGCATGCGCAATTTTTTGTAAAATGCTGTACTCGTAGTACCCATTACGAATTAAAATACGCAACAAAGTCAAACGCCACATTTTTTACATTTTTTTACGTTTTTTTTTTATTTTATTGAATGATATATATATATATATATATATATATATATATATATATATATATATATATATATATATATATATATATATATATATATATATATATATATATATATATATATATATATATATATATATATATATATATATATATATATACATACATAGGGGTGTAGGGTGTCATATAGTCTGGTCCGCTTTTTATACCCTACACCACACGGTGGTCAGGGTATTATGTCTTTGTGCATTTGTTTGTAACAGGCAAAAGGAAACGAGATAGACCCATAGTTCCTTTTGATGATCTCCATAGAATCACATTCTGAGTCCGTCCGTCCGTCCTTCCGTCTGTCCGTCCGTCTGTCTGTCCGTCCGGCCGTCTGTCCATGTATTTTTGTAAACAAAGTACAGTTCGCATTTATTACCTTATCCAGATGAAATTTTGCACAAGTCATTTGTTTGGCCCAAGGACGAACCCTATTGAAATTGGAGATAATCGGTCAAAATTTAGATATAGCTCCCATATATATCTTCGTCCGATTTGTCTTTTATTGTGCACCAAACGTGTAATATCAGTCTGAATAGTATTAAATTTTGCACATACAACCAAATTAGGCCTGGAAATAAGTATGCCAAATTTGATCGAAATCGGTTCAGATATAGCTATAGCTCCCATATATATTGTTCATACGATTTGTTATTTTTGTCCTCCGCAGCCGTAATATGCACTCTGCAACAACAATATTTGGGGAAATATATCAAATACAGCTAAGAAATACATTTGCTAAATTTTATCGAGATCGGTTCAGATTTGGATATAGCTCCCATATATAACTTCGTCCGATTTAACTTGGATTGTGCACCAAACGTCTAATATTTGCCCAAATTGGATGAAATTTGGCACTTACGACCGAACTGAGTCTAGAAGCTAGTATGTCAAATTTGATGAAGATCGGTTCAGATATAGCTATAGCACCCATATATACTGTTCATCCGATTTGTCATGCACTTTGTCATGCACTCCGTAACAACGATATTCAGGGAAATATATCAAATACCGCTCAGAAATATCTTTGCCAAATTTTATCGAAATCGGTTCCGATTTGGATATAGCTCCAATATATATTATTATCCGATTTCAAATTAATTGTGCACCAAATGGGCAATACAAGTCCGAATTAAAAAGATACAAATGCTTCGGCATATTTAGTCATTTGAATTTTAAATTATAATTATAATCATTGCGTGTATGATTGAATTCTCCCATAAAAACTTTTACTTATTATGTGGAGCTCAACTAAATTAGCAAAGTGGTGTAGGGTATCATAAAATCGGCCCCGCCCGACTTTAGGACTTTCTTTACTGGTTTTTTCATGTTATATTTAAAATTATCTACATTTCAATTAATTTTTTTTATGATTTCAGAATGGTGAACTTTTTATTAGCCGCACTGGCGATATAATCGATACTGTCAGCTACTGTCTTTCACCATATTGGAAGGAGGATTCGAAAGAGCTTCAATTGATGGCCCTGAGCTGTCCCATACTAAATGAAGCAAAATTCTCACTCGCTTTGAACACATACGGTGGGCAAGAGGGAAAAGATTTTAGATATGTTTGTAACACAAAAAATGATTTCATTTCTTTGCAGCTATGGCAATATCAGTGATCTTTCTGGTGCCTACTACACTGATATATCTATTTGTAGGTGATCTAAGTCGCGACATAAGAGGCAAACAATTGATTTCCTATTTTATTTCCCTGATTGGAGCCTATTCGATATTCAGTTTTATTAATATCTCGGAATATGTATTTGAGGATTTTTACTGTAAACTGTTGGGTAAGTGGTACGAAACGCATCAGTCGGTTTTGTTGACAGACCCAGAGTCATGGACTGAGGCTATATATTTGTCGACAAAATGCTTCTGATATGTTCGCACTAATTTGTGTTTTGTTTGCTTTTAACATATTTTGCCCCCAAATCATTCTCAGGTATATCCAGCTATTTCTTTTTCACCTCCACCTATCAATGGTTATCAATATTATGCTATGACATGCTGCTGAACTTCAGGCACTTGAAAGAAAATTCCTTATATCGAAGGCACACAAAACGTTTTGTTTACTACTCCAGTTATGGCTGGGGTACGGCTCTGCTGTTTACTTTGATTGTAATATGGGCCCAGTTGTCGGACAAGGTGCCGGACAAATTTAAACCAGGCATTGGCAATGAAGCTTGCTGGTTGGATAGTAAGTTTGGATGGGAAGAGTTTGTAATTTTGTTTTTTATATCCTCAGCCATAGGTCATGATGCGGCTAAAACGTGCCTCATCGAAACAACGGTTTTAGATACTCGGTCTCCAAATCCTAGCATGTTTGAAATCGATCTAGCGTTGTCCGTATGTCCTTTTGTCTGTCTGGCTGGTGCGCATGATAACTCTCCAAGAGAGTATCCGATTTGGTCCAAACTTGGTACATCTTAATATTATTAACAAGCTTAGATCGAGTTCGGATGTAGGCAATATCCTTCCCCTCCTACTGGTACCTCCCATACAAATGGTCGAAATTTCCAAAAAAAAAAAAAAAAATATTTTAGAAAGAATAATTCGATTATGCTTCTACCTTGCAAACCCTAATATTAGCATCAGTGCTAAAATAAAGCTCATAGAACGCGAAATAAACATCCGATTCCAGTAATAACTTGGCACATCTCAAAATTTCTATCAACAAAAGACCTGTTGTAAAGATGGTAGAGATCGGACCATTCCTTCTGCGATCTCCCACACAAAGGGTAAAAGTTTTCAATAACCAAACCGATTATAAAATCCGAAATAAGCACCCGGTTCTCTTCATACATCAAACATCGTATTTTTTACTTACACCAGAAACTCGTTCTTCGTCAAATTTTTGAATACCCATGGAGCTCATAAAACGAGAAGTTGACATACGATCCCATTCAGACTTGGTACATCTCAGTATTTCCATCAACACAAGATCTGTTATAAAAATGGAAGAGATCGAACCCTTTCTTCTGCTACCTGCCCCACATAGGGTTGAAGATTTTTAAAAACAAAACGCTCAAAGAAAGCGAAATAAGCATCCAACTCTATTTTCAAATTTTACACCTACACACACATTTTTACTAACACATGATCTGTTATGGAGATGATACATATCTCCGAACTCCTGCTGGTACCCCACCCACAAAGGGTCACAATTTTCAATACTTTCACCTGTCATAACTTGCGATTCTTTACAACTTGCTATATCTATTTCTCTCAATCAGAGATCTGAGATGAATATGACATTTATGATTTCTCATAAAATAGGACATAAATATGCGATTTTCTTGTAGTTGTGCCCATACCAATATCTGACCACCTGTATTAGATGAAGTAAGGAAATTGGAATACTTCGATCGATTTTATCTGTTAACATATCTCATATAAAGTGAAGGAAGTAACCAATATAGGTTAAACCTGACACGTCGCAATATTTATATCATATTTATTTAGGTCCGATATGAAATTGATGAATTTGGTCCATTCCTTCGGAACCCACTTCATAGAGGGTAAATAATTTGAATAATCGTAACAGAAGCCAAAATGTATTTAAATAATCGAACAAATGGCAGAGGGTATACAACTGTCGGCACAACCGACTGATACTTTTAAACTTTTTTTTACACCTTACAGCCAACCAATGGTCTTCGGCCATTTACTTCTACTGGCCAAATTTGATAATTATGTTGGTCAATGTCGCAATATTTTTCTCCTTGTCATTGCATATTTATCGCATCAAACACGACGTGGCCGCAATGAAACTGACAAAGAAATTTTTCGGAGAATAGTAAGTAGAATTTGTTTTTGGAGTTTTCTATGTTTGCTGCTGATTCATTTAATTTATAATGACCACAAAACCACATTGATGTGATGTGAGGCATTCAATTATTATTATCCTGCAGTTGTGTTATAATTCTACGCCTCTTCATTGTAATGGGCATCTCATGGATTATGGACATATTATCGTTTTGCCTGAGAGATTTTGAAATATCCGATTATGTGTTTATGGCCACCGATGTTTGCAATGCCCTACAGGGAGTATTCATTTTTATAATATTTGTACTGAAACATAATGTGATTCAGGCAATCAGGAAAAGGTATATCGACGTTGCCTTCAAAAAGGAGAAAACGAAAGTGATTTTTTTTCTCATTTCAGCTGCTTTCGTGGGGATTTTATTGCAGTTAATTCGAGAGAACGTGCCACATCGAGTTAATTTCTGTTCTCAAAGTTTTATGAAATAAACATAATCAACATATTGAATAAGTTAATTAAAATGAAAAATTTTGGAATGAACGGTCTTGGTGTCCTCCATCAGCCCACTTTAGTACTACCTCGATTCTTGGCCCGGAGAATCTAAAACAAAACCAGTAAGGAAAAGTCAAAAATCGGGCGGGGCCGACTATATGATACCCTACACCACTATGCATATTTGGTAGAGAATTTATTTCAAGTAGATCATACCACCTATCAACACTTGGCTTTAGACCACTCATAGTTTGCTATAGAGTACGGGATATAACTTGGAGAAGGATGATATTAAAAAAATATATATCGGAGCCGAGTTGCACAAAATGGAAATGTACTTTCCGAAAATCACTCCATTTGGACTAATATTAGCCATCATTTGCAGTATCTGTTATCCGGTACCAAATGTCATTCTTCTGGAGTGTATAATACACATGTGGAGGACTTAAAACCCCAGATCGGATGAAACATATATATGGGAGCTATAGCTATATCGAAATTTTAAGTAGTAGTTTATAGGATGAATTCAGTCAAATTCAGTCCATTTGGGCAGATATTAGTCATTTGGTGCACAATAAACCTGATATCGTATAAAGATATATATGGGAGCTATATCCAAATCTGAACTGATTTCTATAAAATTTAAGACAGGTGTTTTCGAGTAGTATCTGTTATCTGGCACCAAATATCATTGTTGTCGAATGCATATTACGCATTTGAGGGACTTAAAACCCCAAGTCGGATGAAACATATATATGGGAGCTACAGCAAAATCTGAACCGATTTTCACCAACTTTAATTTACTTTCTTCTAGACTGAGATCGGTTGGATATGCCAAAATTCAGGTGATTTGGACTGGTATTGGCTATTTGGTGCACAATTAACCCGAAATCGGTTGAGGTTATATATATATGGGAGCTATATCTAAATCTGATCCGATTACTGCCAATTTCAATAGGGTTCGTCCTTGGGCCAGAAAAAAGAGTGTTTGCAAAATTTAATTTCGATCGGATAATAAATGCGAGCTGCGTTTTGTTCACAAGAATACATGGACGGACGGACGGACTGACATGCATAAATTGACTCAGAAAAAAAGTTATAAAGTATCAGTCGGATTTGCCGACAGAGGTATACCCTCTGCCCAAGTGCTATTATTAAAATATTTATGGACTTCTGTCATGACCATTTAATTTGTTGAACCTCTATAGAGTAGTTCCCGAAGGAATGAACCAATACGGACCCTTTCGCATTGGATCTAAATAAATATGATAAAAATATTGCGACTTTATATGACATATGAGATTTTTAGAAAATGTTAAAATGTGTGCGAGGTGCCAGATATAGTCGACCGAATTATTTAATCTCATTATTAACCTAATACAGATAAAAATATAATATTACAGACATCTGATCAGAAAAATAAAGAAAATACAATAAGAGAATGCTGCTGAATGCTACAGATGGCAACAACACATGGTCGGCGTCGAAGCTTGGCGATATTTTGTAAAATTTTGTTATATGTTTAAACAGTATTGTTCCTGATGATCTCTTCCGTTGGAGGACGAAATATCGGAAATAATAAATAATTAAACAACAACAAAGACCTCGAGCTCGTTTTTTTTTATTAAATTTACATTTGTAACAAAAATATAATACATACAAAAATTACAATAAAATCGAAATCATAAATTCCATGTGCAACTCGAGTTTCTGGTTTAGAGAAATATTTAGATATAGCAAGTTGCAAAGAATCGCTTACTTGTTTCGCAAGTTATGACAGATATAAGTACTGAAAATTGCGACCCAGAAGGGGTTTGCAAATATGTATCATCTTGAGAACAAATCTTGTGTTAGCAAAAATGGTTGTATGTGTGAAATTTGAAGAGAGTTTGATTCTTATTTTGATTTCTTTGAGCGTTTTTTTCCAAAATGTCGAACCCTATGTAGAGCAGGTAGCAAAAGCAATGGTCCGATCTCAACCATCTTTATAACAGATCCTGTGTTGATGAAAATATTGTAGATGTACCATGTACCATGTCTAGAAGGGAATCGGATGTTGATTTCGCTTTTTATGAGCTTCATGGATATTTAAAATTTTGAGCGTTTGTGAGGGAGGTACCAAAAGGAGCGGACCGATATTGTCAATTTTCGTATGAGACTTAGAACTGAAGCAAATATTAGGATATGCAAAGTTTGACCAATTATCGCTTCTCTTTCTGTGCAAAAAATATGTTTTTTTTTTTTTTTATTTGAAAATTTCCACCATTTGTGGGGGAGGTACCAGAAGGAGTGGACCGATATATTCCATCTTAACAACATTGAAGACAATCGGATTCTTACATCACATTTTATGAGAGTTGTAATTATTCAAAATTTCGACCCTTTGTGGGGGAGGTACCAGAAGGAGTGGATCAATATTGTCCATTTTCACACAAGCCCTAGCACTGACACAAATATTAGTATTTGCAAAGTTGAAGCAAAATCAGATTATCCTTTCTTATTCTGTGCAAAAAAATATATTTCTGATAATTTCGACCATTTGTGGGGAAGGTACAAGAAGGAGTGGACCGATATATTCCATATTAACACCAGTCCTTGGCTTAATATAAATATTGGGATGTGTGAAATTTGAAGACAATCGGACTCTTACATCACATTTTATGAGAGTTGTAATTATTCAAAATGTTGACCCTTTGTGGGGGAGGTACTTGATGGAGTGGACCGATATTGTCCATTGTCACACCTAACATTGCAATGACGAAAATATTAGGATGTGTAAAGTTAGAGCAAAAGTGGATTATCCTTCCACTTTTTGTGCAAAAAATATTTTTTTTTTTGAAAATTTCGACCTTTTGTGTTGGAGGTACCAGAAGGAGTAGACCGATATCGCCCATCTCCGAACTCGAACTCTAAGTTTGACAAAAATATTACGATGAACCAAGTTTGGACCAAATCGGATACTCCCTTCGAGAGTTATCGTGCGCACCAACCAGCCAGACAGACAGGCAGACGGACGGACGGACATCGCTAGATCGACTCCAAATGTTCTGAAACGGATTTGATCCAAAGAGACCTAGGGTCTAAAACCGTTTTTTCGACTAGGCACGTTTGGACCGTATCAAATGATATATACTCTCTGTAGCCATATGGCTGAGGGTATAGTGATTCTATGAAGATTCTCAATTGTAACAAATAAACAAATGCACAAAGACATAATACCGTTACCACTATGTGGCATAGGGTATAATTAAAAAAATCGCCTATACTTGGCCGCAAATTCCCTTAGAATTTTTATATTTCAAATTGTAAAGTTGTCCTACTAAAAGGGTATGAAAAGTAATAAAATGTACTAAAAGGTTTATGCTTGTTTGAAGTGCAATAAATCTATAATGGTAGAAAACTTCTAAAACCGTATCATTTGGTATTATGTGAACGGATAGGGCTAAAAACTTGAAATGTTGGTATGAGAATCAAGGTTGAAAAGTAAATTTAATATATAAAGGTGATTTTGGGAAAGTGTACTAAGTGTGCGAATTGTACAAAATGGTAATAAATTTTGGAACAGTTTGGTTTAGGATGAACGGATAAAGCAGGAAGTTTGAAATTTTGTACTGTGGTCCCTTTTGGAGATGGTTTAGGAAATGTGAACTACAAGTACTCAATAGTACAAAAGTTGGTACAATGCGGTATTGGTTGAAAAAATAGTGCTTGAAATCTGAAATTTGGTATTAGGGTTCACACTGTTCATGTGTAGTCTGAACATATTGTTGTGGTTTCGGAAATGTGTATTACAAGTGCACGCGAAGTGCACAGAATGATGCTATATTTAGTATTGGGTGAAGGGACAGAAATATAATTCTAAAACTGATATTTAGATTACTGAAGGTTATTGAGTTTGAGATTTGGTTGCGGTTTAAAAATGCGTTCTATATTTGTACGAAAAATACAAAATAGTACTAAATTTCGTATTGGGTAAAGGGATGGAGCTGAAATCCTCAAATTTGATATTGAATTCTCTGTTGCTGTCTGAATTTGAGATATAGTAGTGGTTTTGGAAACATAATTTGGTGTAGGGTGAAGGGACATCCTAAATTTTGATATGGATGTCAGTGATGGTGCATGTGGTTGGATGTGCGTATTACAATTTTACTAAATGGTGCTACATTTGATAATTGGTGAAAGGATAGGCCTGAAATCCTCAGATGTATGTTTTCTGTTGGTATTTGAAATTGAGATATCGTGCTGGTTTTCGAAATGTGTATTCGCTGAAGGAGTTGGGCTGAAATCTGGAAATTTAATATGTATGTCACTATTGGTACCTGTGGTTGAGAAAATAAGCTGGTTTTTTGATATGCATACTATTATTGTTGGTATCTGAGGTTGAAATACAGAGATTTTTTGAAAATGCGTACTATAATTGCTCAAAAAGTTCTAAATGGGTGTGGGATTCTGAAATTTGGTCAGTCGAGGTCATTGTTGGTTTCTTGGGTGTAGATATGGTGATGGCCAATATTTATTATGAAAAAGACATTGAAATAGTTTTGGCCAGAATAATTGGATGTGGAACCATTGTGCAGTGGTGGTAAAACTAACATGCCCTTAGACAAACTTTGGAAAAAGTAATATTTTTTCTTTTTTTCGATAAAGGAAAATCTTAAATAGAAATAAAATGCCATCAAACTGGTGCAGCTGTTTTTGAACCCTACAACACTTTGTGTTAGGGGGTATTATAAGTTTGATTGGGCCAAAAATTATGTAACACCTTGAAATATTGGTCCTCCACTTAGGAAACTAAATATGGATCTTCCTATCTTGACGATCTGAGTCGGTCTAGGTATGTATGTCCGTCCGTCTGTCTGTCCGCGTTAATTTGTAATCAAGCTACAGGTCGCAGTTATGGCCCGATCTTCCCGAAAGTGAAAAATTAGGTGGGGTTAGGGTCAGAATAGAACCTTATTGGTTTTGGAGATGATCGCACGATATTTAGAGGTTGAAATGGACCAAAAACCGAAAAATTTCCTGATTATACCCTACAACACTATGTGTTGG